CCCTTCCTCCCTCCCTTCCTCCCTTCCTTTCTCTCTCTCTTTCTCTCTTTCATGAATGAATGAATGTAACAGCACGCTAGCATCCTCTGTGGCTTCTGTTTTTAGATTTTGCTTCAGGATAGAATGGTATGTTAATCGAAGATACTGTTGCTTTTTTAGCAAATGTATGGTTAAAATACTTTTTGCAAAAAGAAAACTTGCATCGAAGCATAAGGTTGTACTCTTGTTAAAAAAGTCTGAGCAGATGGGAAGTAGTTTGAAGGAATTAAAGGAAATGCTGATGGAGTGTCACATGAAGAGCTGGACAACAATGAAGTTCCTATATCATGTGAAAAGATTGTATTGTAACAGAAAAACGCATCTTTACAAAGGAAAGACTATTCAAAGTGAAGTTTTGGGAATATTTCACTAATGCTGGGTGGTATCACTTTAGAAAGATCTCATAACCATCAAAGAGCTAGCCTTTCTGCACCAGTGAAATAGATTTTTTACCTGTTGGCTGTTATTTAAATGTTCATTGTGTGTGAGCTATAAATTATATTAATAAACAAAGTTCATAGAATATTTGACAGTTGTCACTTTGATGTAATTAAACTCCAAAACTTGCTATATAATCAACATAGAAGTCTAGTAGCAAATTAGTTTTTGTGATTTACTTACATTTTGCTGAAAGTACTTTTGAAGTACTGTAAGTACATTTGTACTTCACAAATTTAATTAAAACCTTTTTTTGTTTTCCAGAATTTTTATCATATGAAACTATTTCAAAATTGTGACATTTGTAAAATGATTTTTAGAAGACTTTTCTTACATACCTGGTTTGGTTTGGTTATGTATCCTTCTGAGAAAGTACTCACTTATTTTTGCAGGAAGTAGGTAAAAAGATAGATTAACTGATGCTTCATTTAATTTGGATTTTATATTGACATAAAATCGCATAATTAATTTGCTATTTAAAAGTGCCCCACAGTCTCTGCAATCATAGAATAATAATTTAGAAATTACTGTTTGGCTGTCTATAACTTCTCCTAATTAACTGTCTTCCCATCATTAAACATAAAAAGGAGCATACTCAATTTTTTTGTTTTTTAATGTGTTGCATGAAATTATCTCACTCAGAAATAGTAGGAAGAGTATCTTGTATTTCAACGTGAGATAATTTTTTCAGTCGATCTCTAGTAGGAGAGAGGTTTTTCTTTAAATCAGTTCCTATGTTTGGCTCAACTCTTACAGCTTAGTGCTGCCAATACAGAAAGCTGTTCATTTCAGGAATTTACTGATGGATTTAGAAATTCGTGATCCTGTTTTGTTTTGTAACACCACCGAAGCAATACAAACCAATTTCTTGTTATCCAGCAAGGCGTATCTTCTTCTGGATGTCATTAAGATAGAACAAAGTTTTGACTTTGCATTAATCCCACTGTTCTTTTTTAAATGTAATTCCTAAACGCCTAATATTTTTTCACTGAAATGTCGCCGTAAGCTGACATGATATCATGGGCTTTTATCTTCTGAAGCTTGAATTTTATGATTTAAAATGTACTTCAGTCACATCAGGAAGAGTGGTATTTTATGCTGTTTTCTATGGGTAAACAGCCTCGCAGAAATTATTTATTGGAATGTAGGAAAGTTCCTTTGAAAGAATTTAAATGGTTACTGTAAAGGTAAAGTATTCGGTCTATTACTGGAAAATAACTTTACATATACCTCCTGTGACTTAAATAAATCACTCTCTGTGTTTGTTGCAACAGGAATGGGGCATTAAGATTCTTACAGCATTCAACTTCAAGTAGCAATCCAGCAATGGTATAGAGTAAGGATATTGTTATATACTATGCTGAGAAAAGCACATCTGTAAAACTGTTGTGTCTTGGTTATTAGTGCTAGGATTTGAACTATCTTTAATCTCATTTGACTTGTTCATCTTCCTTAAGGATCTCCATAAAGATGCACTGAGTATTCTTTTCAGCCCTTAGTTAGGGTTTGCATCAGTGGTCGTAAACCTGCTTAGTGGACAAAGACTCTTTTCCCTTTGAAGTCACTTCCCCAGCTTTTCAAAAGATCTGCAAGCTGGTTCCCCTAAAACAATTTAGAAAAGTTTGAAGTGGTGCCCCTTAAACCAGCAACAAAATAAAATTTTCTCTTTGCATTATTGAAAACCATGACAATCTTCTGAAGCAATAACAGTTTAAAAGCTTTTAAAGAAATCTGTTCTGCTCTATGACCAGCTTTTAAGTTGACCCCATTATTTGGAAAATCAGAGGCTTGGAAACCCCTAGATACTTGTCATTCTTATCAAAGGAGCCAGCCTGACTTTTCACAGGACTCCTGTTTTACAGTATTTATTCTAAAGCCCTAATTTCCTTAAAGATGCTATTCAGATTTCTTCTTCCTTTATTTTTTTTTATTAGTGTTACTTTAGGACAAAAGTAATGTAGCAAATAGTTGATATAATTTATGAAACACTGATCCTGCCACCTGTGGATTTATACTCTTTATTATCAAGCCCAAATTCTAAAAAGACTGTGATTGATATTTTTAGGTAATTCTACTTTTCTATGGACTGTGAGAAATACACATGCTTAGTTTCTGCCTCTTTGTTTAAGAATATTATTTCCTTCATTTTTTAAACATAGTTACTGACAGGCTAACGTAGGTAAAGCACACAGTAATGTAGATGCTGCAAAAAATAAGTTTACTATAAGGATTTTGTTTATCTTCACCTCCTAGTAATTCATTCAGGCTTTGCTTCTTATAAATCTTTCTAACTCCAACATCTTATATTCATTACCTCTGCTACAACATTGCACATTTGAAACTTCTCTGATTTCAAAGTTTCATTAACTTCTGTAGTGTATAATTAAGGTAACTGGTTGCTGATCTATGCTAACATGTTTTAAATGCAATTTTTGAGAGGAGAATTCTAGAATTTGCTGACATAGGCAGCTCATCTAAAAGCAAACAAACTAAAAAGATTTTTAAATGCACGAAGCTGCCTCCTCTTTTATGGCTTGGGAGCAAGTGGGAGAAATAATTAGGTCAGCAAAATGAAATTGTTACCATTATGGTTGGTGTAGCATTTTCCCCTAAAACTGCAATTTTGTGCTCATTTATGAATCTTCTAAGATCCCTGCCCAGTGTTTAGGTGAGGAAGATTTAACAGAGCAAGCTTCCTCTAAAAGGTTGGTGAGCATTTGTAGCCACCTGAGAAGTACCTAGAAGTCATTAAGTCCACCCTTATGCTTCTAATTTGTCAGGAGTTCTTCATTTGCTTCTGAACTGTCTGCGGTACTTCCAGTGTTTCAGTGTGTTTTGCTAAAAAAAAGCAATAGTTTTTGATTATTATTTATTAAGAGGTTAGGGACAATACAGCGAATAGCTCCAAAGTATTTTCATATTTAAAATGCTGATTATATACATGCATGGGGGGGTTGTGTGCATATGCATACATATATATTTAGTGTATATGTATATATCTAAGAAGAAACGGATTTATTTACTTTTCAAGATTTTGTGTTGTGGATATAAGTTATAGACTATAACAGTAACTGCAGAATAAATAAAATTTTGAAAGGTCAAAATCCTAGATTTGATACTTTATCATAGATTGGGACCTTTTCTGAAAAGCCATTTCAATGTTGCAGCTATACAGACACTCTGGGAAGTGTTGCAAATGGTCTGAGCAAAATGTAGAATATGGAGAGTAAGCTAGGCCTTTATTTATGCACGTCCAGATGATTTACACTTCTTTTTCACAGAAGTATCTCACTATACATGTGCAGGGTCTGAGTAGCTACCTGTTTTGTTATATTTCCATTTCTACTAAGACTCAGTATCAGTATTGCTAGTACTATTAAGTCTCTAATGGACCAACTAATGACATTTTGCTGGTTTTACCTTTTGATAAGTTACAACCACAAATGTTATTTGAATGATGCTGCCTTGATAACAAATGCAGTCAGGTGGCCCTATTATTACTCTGTCTCTTTGCAAAACCATGTCTTTTTTTTTGAAGTAAAAAGGGGTTGATTTTACCATTGCTTTAATGCCTTGTAGTTATCTCACTTATCATCATTTATTGTGAAGTAAAATTATTCCCTGCTGCTTAAAAACTCACCTAATCCTTTTTGAAACTTCATGGTAACATTGCCCAAGATACATTATTTAGAGTTTAAATGCTTTGTAAAATGCTATGAATGAACAAATGATGTGGTAATGCATAAATAACATAATGATTTCTGTCAAAAACTACTTAAAGAGCTTTATAGCATTTGTTTATCCTTTCTGCCTTCATGTGGAGAATAATTTTGTTTTTTTCCTTTTAATGTGCTAGTTGTACAATTTCTTTTTTTTAATGGTATCTATATATGTTTGATTACAAAGAGAATCTAAAAAAAAAAAACCCAGTGATTTTTTTTGTTCTTGTTCTGGGGAGATGTATAATAGCAGCAGTGGTAATTAATTTTGGGTTTGGGTGTTTTATTTTGCAAACTCACCTGGAATTGATATTGATTATGGTCCAAGCTCCACATCTCACAAGGAACTAGATGTCAGGCTGAGGTTCCAACACTATTACTAGGTTAAAACAAAAACAGTCAATGAATGTTTGATTTAATCTTTGGGCATTGTAGGTGTCTTTTCTCAGGACCTGTCACAGTGACACTTGTATTCACTTTTGCCTATTACAGGAAAAAAGAGGTGGGGATGGAGACAGGGAAAAGCTTAAATAGCATGCTCCAACTTCTGTTTGGTTTTACTACACACCTGACTTCACTATTAATGTGCATTAGTAAAGGTGCAGGCTGAATTCCTATAGCCTACTGCTGCTGTACTGTAAGATGTGAGTACAGAACAACCACATGCAAACAGTAGCATTGAAGTGATTTGTAAGTAACATGAGCTCAAAGAGCAAAGGAACTGAAGACACCTTAGTGATTGAAAGCAGTGATTTTATAAACAGATTGTAACCAAGAATTGCTTTTATTGTTTTTTCATTGAAGGTGATTTTGCAACTCCTCGAGCTATTTTGACAGGACATGACTATGAGATCACCTGTGCTACCATTTGTGCTGAACTTGGTCTGGTAATAAGTGGTTCCAAAGGTAAGGTAGCTGTTGTCAATTCTTTCTGTTCATGAAGCTGTAATCCTAATGCAAAAAGGAATAAAGTCTCTGGTGGTAGAATTTATTAACTATATGGTGGTTTTCTTTCTAACCTTTTTTTCAGTTGCTATGGAGTTTGAAACTTTTATTTAAACATATTAAACCGGAGGATTATTCAGACATGTGCAAGAAGAGGCAAACACATCAGTTTCCCTGTTATAGCCCACTGACTGCTATTTCTTACTGTGTTTATCCAGTGTGTAACTGCATATAAGCATACAATTGGCTACAGCTCTTGACTGTAGGGATGATGAAGAATGTTTGTTACGGTTAATTCTCAGAAAGGGAAGCAAAAACTGGTTTCAGAATAAAGAGAATGTGCTGTCTTGTTTGTTTGATGAAGGGTATATATAAACTACCAGCTGAAATCTATAGTAATTCTGCTCTTTGAGCTTACTACAAAGCCTGTAATAAGCCCCATTTTTATTTTATTTTTATTCTCAGGGACAGGCAAATGATAAAGAATGGTGTTGATTCCATGGATATTGTTTATTATTTTCCTATTTGCTGGTTCACAAATAATTTTAAAATGGAAATGTCATAGAATTAGGATCTTTCTGCTGTAGTGCTTCCAAAGTACGTACTTTGAGGCACTTTTTCAAACTTAGGTGTATTCACCGTATGTACTTGTGTGCATTTCTGTTCTATGCATGTGAACACTTGTGGCTTACATACAAATCAGGTATTTGTTAAAACACATTAAAAAGCAAATATTTAGTGGATCATGTACAGGTTAATATGAAAATATACATTTAGAGTACCTACTTTTGTAAATTCATTACACTTACCTCTGTGTGCCTTCGTATTTTGAAAATCTCATTTTAGAATTCAGTACATTTATTTTTGTGCTCTCAAAACTAACTACTAACAGTTTCAAAAGAAAATCCATGCCAAAAAGATTCTTTTAGGTCTCTAGTTTTGATAGGTGCTCTAAAAGAACCGTAATGCAAAGCTTGTAAGAGATAAGCTGTTCGTTTTACTCTCTGGCACCCTTAAAGACATAAGCTATTGACTTAAACATGGTAAAAAAATGATTGTAATATATTATTGCAGTGAATACCTAAGTAGAAGTCATTACTTATTGATTGATATATGGTATCTTTAAATGGGCGTGTACATCAATAACTAGAGATTTTTGTTCTGTCTCATTAGAAGGACCATGTCTCATACATTCTATGAATGGAGATCTACTGAGGACATTAGCTGGTCCTAAAACATTAGAAGGTCCCGAAAATTGCCTGAAACCAAAACTTATTCAAGCTTCAAGAGAAGGCCACTGTGTCATATATTATGAAAACGGCCTCTTCTGTGTATTCAGTGTGAATGGGAGACTTCAAGCCACTATGGAAACAGATGACAAGATAAGGGTAAGCATGCTCAAATGTGTTCCAAGGACTGTCGGTTCCAGTATCAGGAAAAGTTATCAATGTTGGAGTTGTGTGGAGACTCTTTCTATAGCCAGGCCAGAGAAATATATGCTGTGAGACCATAATAGCAGTATCCTAAACCAAAATGCATTTAAAGGGACCATGGGCTCCTAATAGTACCGGTTTATATTTTAAAATAATTCTGTTCATATAGTAAGGAATATCCTGTAGGTATTTCCTTGAACTGATGCTGACCAGAAGTCAGGCTACTTCCTTACTTTTGAGTCTGAAGGTGGGGATTTTTGGGCATGTTGCTCTGGTTGTTGGTTGTTAATTCCTTCATCTTAGCATGTGTTGTGCTGAGCTTCAGGTAGTTTATAGGCATATGTCTGTACTTTATCCCTTTGGCATTTGCTGAGCAGACAACTGGGTTCCACATCTTTAGCTGCAATAGACATGGAGCAAGTCCAAAATTAAGCAGGGGGCATTTTAAGCTTATGGTTTTATGGAAATAATTTTATAATGCAAAATGCAGGTCTTTTGACAGTTCCTATGAAATAGTGCCTATGAAGCAGAGCAGAACCTGCCAGCTGTACTGCAGTGAAGCAGAAATGTGGAAAGAATATTTCCTTGAATTAAATATATTCCCACTTACTCCATGAATGACAAAGAAAGGAAACGGAAGAGGAAAAATGAACAAGCATTACCAAATCTGGTAGAAGCAGAGACATGAAGCAAGATCACATTGCTGGATCAGCATTCGTGCCACCCTAGTCATCTGAAGTTATGGTCTCTATGCCAGTAGTAATGGTGTGAGAGGCACAGAATGGCTGAGCTTGGAAGGGACCTCTGATGGTCACCTGACCCAGTCCCCCTGCTCAAGCAGGGCCATCTAGAGTCAGTTTTCCAGTATTGTGTCCAGATGCATTTTGAGTATCTCCAAGGTTGGAGATTCTGCACCTTCTCTGGACAGCCTGTGCCAGTGCTTGGTCATCCTCACAGTAAAAATGTGTTTCCTATATAAAAACTGCTTAACTATTTAATATCAGCAGAGGAGACTTTTGTTGTTGTAAGCATATCACAGTACTATACTTCCAAGCTGAGTTTCATAATCTGATGGAAGAGCCCAGGAATGCAGCTGCTGGGATTTCCAGTGTTCTCTTGAGTTGAAAACTCTCAAAAGTTTTTCCTTTATTTGCATGAGATGTTTCAGGAAGAAAAGGCCTCTTCACCCTCATGTTGACTTACAGAACTACTAAAATTCTTTCAGATATTGTGCAAAATTCTGAGCATTTTTAAATTTACACCTGTTCTTCTCTTGACTATAAATGTTATTAAGATGGAAAAATATGTCAATATATGTGAAGGGGTTTTGATCTGCATTATTTCCATTTTATAACTTACATGGAGCAGTGTATGCTCTATTAACACTGAAGTTTTTAGTGTAGGCCAGTGTATTCCAGTTAAAACCTTCTAAAACTCTGCCATGTACTATAGTCTGTTAATCTAGCATCCCTGTGTTTTCAAAATGTCAGATAGATTGGTCATAAAAAAGGCAGAAATAACTCTCTGTGTAGGTCTCCTCTCCATAGTGAGACTGCTGTCTGCAGGGGTGAGAGGGCATTTGATCATTGGATGCTGTGGCACCACAAGTGCGGATTTGAGGCTGGGGGAATGTAGTGGAATGTGTATATTTCTGTCCCAAGGAATTTTTCCAAATTAATAAATATTCTTGCTTCAATTATTAATCTTTGTTCAAATCACTGAAATTGCACCTTTGGCTGTCTTGTACAAATGTTTTTTGAGATTTTTCAGTCTACCCTTTATCCCAGTTCTTTCCATAAAGCAAGTACATATCACAGCGTTTTCTCTTTTTACAATAATAATGTTGATAATCTGTCACTTTCAGTTGTGATTATGTTGTCAGCTAGGCCAGCAAATCTGTAAAATATCTAGAAATCCCTTGCCAGCTAAAACAATTTCTGTAGTGTTTCAGTCAGTACCCACAGCTTTAGGAACGTTGCTAGAGGCAATGGAAGTTCCGCTCTCTGTGGGCCAGAGTTACATATGTACAGAGGTTTGGGTTTTATTCTGTTTTGTTTTGTTTTCTTTTCCTTCTATCCCAGTGGTCCCAGTTGGGCTTTATGCTTAAACAACCTACAGCAACTTTCCCAGTGCTTCTGCACCACATCATGTTAGAAGGCAGTGGCAACTGCATGATGAAAGTAGGGGCTTTTAAAATGAATAGTACCTACCCTTGAGCTGTGCTGACAAGCACTTTTATTTGTTTTTTGCTTGAGGAGGATAGAATAGGGAAGGAAAAGGTCCTAAGAGTTGAATCTGTAATGTAGCATTCTACTTTCTATTTTTCTATGTTATTATAGGCTGTTATTCCAGAACGTTATTGACAAATCTAGCAGTTTTCAATAGTGATGTTTGGAACAACATTCTGATTTTCTTTCTTGTATTCCTGTGCTAGAAAACGGCAAAAAAATTCAGACACTCTGGGGAAATTCAAAGTCTAACCAATGCTTTCCACCTGTTTTTGTTTTAAATACTGTATTGCTCAGTGGAGCTTAGGCATATCATAGTACATCTACCATGTAATGTTTAGATATCTTAATGAATAACTTAACTCTAAATAGCCTGCTTGTTCTGAGAAGTAAAGTTATTTTACCCTAAACAAAGACTGTATGCTGTTTCACCCAGAGGAACCAATTTATTTTCCTTTCCTGAGTCTGTTTTGAAATGTGGAAGTGCCCACAAGACTCCTGCTGCTGTAAGCCAGGGCTGTCACAGTGTCAGCTCTGCCTTTCTACAAAGCACTGCCTTTCAAAAATCTGAGATGCTAAAAGGGATTTGTGCAAAGTTTTGAGACTTTCCAAGGAAATAGAAGTCAGAAGTGCAGATTTTAGAACATTGCTGAAATTGTGTGCTTTGGGGATTATGTGAGACTCTGAAGTTCATGTTGTGAGAAAGATTAGTTGCAGAGTTGTTTCAGTTTCATAACTAGCAGAATCGTAGATAAACTATGTTTGGGAAAAGACAAACAGTAAATTGACTCTTGTCATCTTCTGTACCAGTTAGAGTACTTGGAAGTAAAAGCATCCTTTCATTTGTTAAGTCTGGAAAGGCTTGTCATGAAACTGAAATGTTATATATAAATATATATACACACACGCAAATGGTTGAGAAATTTATTAATAAGCAGTAAAAATAAATAAATCAACTCCTTGTCTTCATGACAAGCCATTAACTTAGTAAAATGGTGTAGGTATTAGTAAGATTTCTGTACTTTATTTAATCAGATCATCACAAAACCCGCTGCATTTTACAGGTAGTGGAAGAGTTAAAGATTAATGACTTTAATTTGCCTTTTAATATAGCATTTCTTCAGTAAAAGCCTCAAGTATAAAATTCAAGTGAACCATGACCATAAGGTTAATGGATTTTCATCAGCTGAATTTTATAAGTGTAGCAAATAATTATTTGTCACGGTCTTCATTGTGATTTGAAAATACCCTTAGGAGACTGCCATTGCTATAGAGAAGAAAACTACCCTATATTGATTTTTGCTTCTAATGAGTAATCTTTTTAATAATTGTGTGTGGTATGGTAAATCTCATGATCATCTACTCAGTGCATGTAAGTTCTAGATAATTTTCAGTCTTACCTCAGTTTGTTCTCTACCCCATTCTTACTGAGTTCCTATACTGTAATAAGTGCATATTCAAGCTCCTTGGGGCTGTGCTGTGGGAGGTGCTTGGCATATTTTTGTAGGCTGAGAGAAACAATCACTGAAGCGATTTATGGCTGGAACACTTTTTTTGAGGGGGGAGAGAAACTTCAGGTCAGAGTACTCACTTTTAACCTTGATTAGTATTCAATTTTCCGTACTTAGATACGGCTGGAAAAATCTTCCACGTATTCTGCTTTATTGTGTCTAAATGTAAATGTATGTATTGTCATCTTAATTCAAAACACAATTGGAATAGGTTTATAATATAATTTTTCAGTGCTATGTTTTGTTTACAGTATATGTTTGCATTTCAATTACATTCATTTTTAAGTTGCGTGAAATAAAACTTTAGCAATGTGATATTAATTCTGATTACTTGGGAGTTGTTCCAGTAAAAATTCAATATATGTAATAAAGAAACTATTTTAAAATAAGGTAAGTGTTGCACATCATAAAATTCTAAAAGGATATATTTGACATCACAGCATAGCAATACAGAAAATATAGATTTGCAGTATGTCTGACTTCAGTTATTGCTGTTCATGAAACAGTATCTTATGTATATGGTACATTTTGGTTTCTGGGCTTCTCAGCAGTCTGTGAAAACACTTTAGTGTTGCATGAATGTAACATTTTTGCATTTTCATTTCCCTGATTTTTGTGGTACACGTGCTATAAATTCTGCCTGTTAAAAAAACACAACTTCCATTTCCTGAAGAATTTAAAATCACAGTATGTTACAAGTTTTGCATATCAAAAAACTGTAGAAGCAGAGATTGCAAGTGTCAAAACACTTGCAGACTTCATCTTGTCTTCATCAGAGAGAGAAATGTTTGCAAGACCCTGTCATCAGTTCTTTCTTCTATTTCCTAAACTTAAAACTTTGAGCTGGAATTTTGATGTAGACTATCATCTTGAGAAAATTCCCTTGCCTTCCAGTGACAATGTTTTAGTTAAAGTGGATCAACCTATTTGTAGAACTTGTGTGTTAGTCAGAACAACGTCTTTTCAATTCTTATCTTCCATTCTTGCATTGTTCTTTTGAGAAGTTTTGTCTCTCGCTACTTTTGGTCAGGGAGCTGAAATTTACCAGTAATTAGTCTAGGTATGAAGAATGTGTATTTTGTTGAAAAGTTGCCCAAATTTAGTTTATTCACAAAACTCCGGTTAAATACACTCAGTATGGCAGTAGAAAATGCTTAGCATCTTCTTTCTGAGCTGAATATCTGTAGCCCAGGGATGGAGAGTCTTGCCCTGCAACAAGTCATCCCCTATGGGAAGTGCACAAAAGGGCCATGCCAAGAAATGTGATGAGGTGATCCTGGACAAGGAAGGGGAAGGACTGATGGGGAAGCAGAGGAGAATGAAGAGCAGAATCAAGGATAAAACCAAAGACAGAATGAGAGAGATTTTTCCAAGAGCGACAGGAGCAGAGAGATAGCGATGGGAACGTAGATATTGTCAGAGACTGGGAGAAGAAGAGAAAGAAAGGAGTGAAAGAAAAATAAGAATTGGAAGTAGGAGCAATGGAGTGAAGATTAGGTAGGATCAGAAATCTAATACTATATAATAGTGCTTTGTAGTAGCAAAGTTCTGTATTTTCCTTTTGATAACAGCACTTCATCCAGTAAACAACTACCAAAGTTGTTTCTCACCCTTCTGTGTGCTCAAATGAGGAGGATGATGGGCTGCTGTTGTGCAGAGTATTGCCTAAAAAAAAAAAAAGGTAGAGAGGAAAGAAGGGAAAAAGCAGAAGTCAAGTGGATAGCCAAAGTCAGAAAGAGAACTGAGAAGAGGCATCTGGAAACAGAAGGCAAGCATATGAAAAGGTTTGGACTTACAGGAGTCTTAAACTTGCTGGCAGCTTAGGCTGATGTCATTCCACATGAGAGAATTCATACAACTTCTTGGTCGTTCGGTGGTTTGAGGTTTTTTTGTGTGTGTGTTTTTTCACTCTTTTTTTTTTTTTTGTGGGTTTTTTGTTGTTTCTTTGGTTGGTTGTGGGGTTTTGGAGGGTTTGTTTGTTTTTGTTGTTGTGTTTTGTTTTGTTGTTTTTTTTGTAAATCCTGCAAACATTTTAGCTTTTCCAAACAGTTATGAGAATGAGGCTATAAAATCAGGGCTCAGTATCCCCTACTACTTAAGGTTTTTAGTATAATTTGGTATAGTCATCAGGTAACTGAGGAAAGTTGTTGTTCTTCAAGATACTCAGTATGTATTATGATTTTTCCAACAGCACACAAGAAATATCAAAATAGATTGAAGACTCCTGTTTCACTGTGAAAACCAATGATACCCCATCTTCCTCTATGATCTAGATCCTATACAAAGATTTCAAATGTAGATTTGCCATCAGTCCCCAAGATGCATGTAAAATCAGGGTATAAGCCATTGTATTTGTCACAGGCAGTTTCAGGATAGATGATGAAAGGCAACAGTCTCTATGAAAAGTTTTTTTTTGGAATCTAAAAATACTTGTATAAATTAATTCTAGTAATTTGTAAAACATTTCAGTTCTCTCTATCACTCAGTGCTTTGCCAAAGAGAAAAGGAGGGATAGCCTCTGCTCGGCTACTATTGAAGACACTTGGGGGAATGTCAGGTACTATATTTTAACACCAGTGCTGCTGGATCTTGTAAATCTAGCTAATTAGAGGTGTAAATTTCTTCAGCTGACCTCATGTTGGATCTTTGGAATATGGAGTAAATCACAGGTGAAGTAAAACTGAACTAGTGATATCTAATGTGTTAAAGAGATTTCTGCGTAATAACATTAATTCTGTTGCTGGGTAGAATAACATAACAATGATGTTGCTTCCCAAAAGCTTGTACTGATGTTAAGTCAGCTGTCGGTATGAAACTTTTTATGAAAGTAAAAGAGGTGGAGTAAGAGCTTATTTATCTGACAAATATCCTTGTAATTTCCCCTTAGGCAATTCAGCTCAGTCGAGATGGACAGTATCTGCTTACAGGTGGAGACAATGGAGTTGTCATGGTGTGGCAGATGTGGGACCTCAAGCGGCTTTTTGCTTACCCAGGGTGTGATGCTGGAATCCGATCCATGGCCCTGTCATATGACCAAAGGTTAGATCCAAGCCTGGTCTTTTCAAGATTTTCAGGGAATATATGCTTACAATTAAATAGAATTTTTGTTTTTCTTCTGATTTTGAATTTCTGTGGACCACAGATCCTGGTGATTATATTGAGAACTCTGTGCTTGCAGAAGCTTTTTTCTAACATGTCATATTTGGGGCAAATAATAGTTTTCAGGATTTCTGCTCCTGAGGGAATGAAGAGAGATTAAAGACATCTTACTTTGGCAGACTTTAAAGATAGGTTGAGTTATTGGCCTGTGTCAATGTACAGTGTGGTCACATATGTGTTTATCATGTTTCCTCTTTCATTTATGATATAAATCACATTCCTAAATCCAGACCATGGTGTTAAAAATAGAACAGTTAGAATATTTGCACAAAAAGATTCCCTCCACATATCCATATTTTGCTCAAGCAAATGCTAATTTTCATTTCTAGAAAAGTTATTTATGTAAAGTGTGACTCTCCTTGAAGATTCCTTCTACTGAAGGCAATAATTTAATCTTTTTACTGCATTTTTATATTACACTTTCCAATGCAGCTGTACTTAGAAGTCCTCTGTGTTTCTATTTTAAAAGTGTTTAAAAAGTATTTAAAAAGTGTTAAAAAGTATTTAAACTGACCTTTAATGTGGATGCCTTCATTTTGGCTTTGAAGACTCAGAAACTCAGAAAATATTTACTTGAAGTATTTTTACTGAGTAATTACTCAGTAATTACAGATAAATTACTCAGAGTAATGTGTTTGATATGCATGAATGTATGTGTTTGAGTGACAGTGTGTAAAATAATGTTTTAACCTAGTTCAAAACCAATATGGTGCCCTTGAAATGAAGTAGTGTCATACTATCAAAATGCAATGTGTTGATGATCTCACATTTAGACTTTGTTTTATAGGAAAAATTACATTTTTTTCCTCTGATTTTTCCTCTTTTTAATTCTGAGTTTTTTCTAACATACCAGAATTTTATAAGTCCTCATACTTTTCATTTTCATAAAATTTTATTATGAGACAGTAAACAAAATTATATAGAAACTTGTAATTGTGTGCTATGTCAGGGTCATGGCTTTTCAAACAGATCTTAATGATCTTAACGTAGGCCAAGGGTAAGGAATTTAGGAAGAAAGAGTTTTTCAGTGGGAAAGCACAGTGATTGCTTTCAGGAACTTTCAGAACAATCAAAGCCTTCAGATTGCTTTCAAACCCACACGCACTAACATTTCCAACTTAAGTCCTGTGTCCGCATCCAATTCCTTCATGTAGATAATGTGCTTAAATGAGGCAAAACTGAACCGAACACTTCTCCTAGCCTTCCTTCACTTTGCTGCTTCACCAAACCTTCATGCCACGCTAATAATAGCCCCCCAAAAGCAATCAAGCAAGACAAGAAATCATTCCAAGAAATCTGAAGTGGCCTTACAGGATGGTGACGCTGCTAAACAATTCTCATTTGCAGCTTCAGGCTGACCATACAAACAGTTGCATGGTGTTTTGTGTGTTTTGTGATCCATAAATCTGCCAGAGGTGGTGCAGATGGCAGTTTTATTCAAATCCTGCTTGCAGGAGCCCTTGAGAGCCCAAGATGGGAGCCCCTAAAGCCTGTGGAGCACTTCCAGCTCCAGCTGTCTTTGCTGGAAGTTGGCCGTTGCCTGAGGTTCTCGTGCCTATATTCATGTAACTCTTTTGTATGTTGATTCCTGTGTGAACATGAGGTGGTTCACAAACAAATACGGTCTTGTGCTTTCTTTAGGTGTATAATGACTGGCATGGCATCTGGGAGCATAGTGGTTTTCTACAATGACTTCAATCGTTGGCATCATGAATATCAAACCAGATACTGATCCTCAGAGACCAAGACAAGCACTGATGTGGCCAGCTGTTGTCAGAAAGACGCTGACGACAACACACCTCTCTTGGTGTCTTGCTACAATGTTGTTCCTTATAAATAGCTATATTACATCTGAATGTAACTTAAATTTGCTGGAAGAAGCAACCTATTTTTTAAAGTTAATTGCTATTTTTGTAGACCTTGCTTGACTTTTTTGGGGAAAGGGCAGAGAAGCAGAAAAATGGCGGCTGGGTTCTGTAGTTAAAAATCTATATTTTTAGTCATAATGAGAAGTCTATTTTGATCCCTGTAGGTAAAAGATACCTAAAGATGGATAAAACTCTCATTCTAGCTACATTATGAAGAAATGGATTTTCCATCTGAAGCTTTATCTATAACCTTAAGGAATATATGATTTTAACATAATGGAAATTAATAATGATGTTTGGGGAATTTAAATCTGCTGTCCTGTACCACACTTCATCTCATACTTTTCCAAATTACTGTACTACATCAGCACTGAAGTTTCTGGGAATCAGTGGTTATATTTAAATTATGGGTAATGTAATTTTAAACATTTGTTTCCATCCAAGTTACTCCTCAAGCATGTTTCTAGGCCTAGAGTTAGTTCTTTTTTAGTTGTATGTTTTGTGCAGTTAAGAGGGAGAAATAGGGAATCGAGCTTGTGTTACATCAAGTGTGAATACTTCTAGTTTCTACCTGGCATCTCCTTGAAAGCACACCAAAATGTGGATTGTTCCTCAAAATCAGAAAGGATATTTTAAAGACTTTAAAATCAACTTAGAAGCTAATAGAGGCAGGTATTTTTAAATAGGTGCAAGTACCAAAGCACACTTCTGCTGGTTGACTGTGAAAGCACTAAAGAGGCAGGTGTTTGCTGGTGCTGAGCCTCTGCAGGGCAGCAGCACTAGAATTGCAGGCAACTTTTTTTTTTTTTTTTTTTTTTTTCATCCCAGAACTAGCTCCTGCAACACTGTAGCACATACTGTATTCCTTTTCAGCATATAGAAACAATATCTTTTATATTTTGCTCTCACCAAATCCAGTCAGATCCTGCCCGATCATATTAAATTACCTCTTTCTTTTAGGAAATGAAAAATAATTTATACTAAGGAACAATAAATTATTTTGGTGTTGCATAAATCTACTTTTCTACAAGATTGCTGTGCAGAACTCTGTGAAAATATTTGTGAAAAAGAACTGTTATTGTTTTGTAAGTCTGTATTGCATAACAATCCTCTTTGTATGTTGTGGGCTATGAGTTGAAATTTACATTCCGTATCTGTATTGATACATAACATTTCTCTAGCTGCCTACTAGAGCAGTTCCTGTTTTTTCTAAGCATTTAACTACTATCTCTTTCAGTAAAGATTTGGAATGAGAAAATTCAGTTTGAGTGAAGAAATTAAATAAAATTACATTTGTAATTCAGAACTTTGGTGCAGTACTGTTTTTTTTGTGATTCAGTGTGTATTTGCAATAGAGGAAATAGGTGCTATGGCTGATGCATTTTCTGTGCTTTCTCCATGTTTAGATTGATGTGGCTATAGAGGTATCAGTGGAGTTATATTTTTATGTTTTGTATAGCAAAGGATGATCTGATTAAGCAACAGCTGTAATTGTCATGTCTCTGGTTAAGTGCCCCATGTATTTGAGCAGCAACATTTGTTATGCAAAACTTGTACTTCACACTTGTTTATGTTCAACAACATTCATAACCTGATAGGAGATTATAAGGGCAAAGGGGCTTGCTCCTGAAGTGCACTTTGCATTTGTCTCAAGCCAGGGGTGGGTTTCCCATGTTAGGTAAAGGGAAAAAACAACAGTCAAACAAAGGTGTGTTTTGCCAAATGGAAAACGTGAGAGCCTTCTCTTCATCATCTTCTGCTGACTTAGGAAACACTTTATTATTTATAGAAGAAATAGGTTCTGATCTTAGAGCCAAAGTATTTCACGGGGAGTGGATTTGGTAGATTGCTTGTTTTAGAAAGGGCCCTATTGATCATGAGCTGCTTTCCCAGACTGAAAGCATGACTGTATCTATGTGTGCCATCCTCAGCTGCATCCAGCCCAGTCATACTGATGGGCAGCAGAGTGATGGTATCAAGTATTCCTTGGGGAAGCAGCAGCAGGGATTCACGGCAGTGTTTTGCACATGATGAGTGCTGCAGCCCTTCTGTGGAAAAGGACATCTTCACCTTCTGCTCCTTGAGCAAGCCTGTGAAGACACCTCCATCCTGGACTGCTTTGCTGATGGCTTTGGTGAGTAACACATACATCTTCTGGCATGATTTTAGGGTTCTCATTGTAATTTTAAAAATATGAAAGTTGAATTTCTGTTAAGAAACAAATCTTTTGTGCTGTGATGTTTTTAATGTGTGGGATCAGGCTGGGGATTTCTAAGGAACAGTGGAGTTTCTTCAGTTATTTCACATACCTGAACACCAGCAATAAAATCCTGATCCATGTTTTTTGTCATACAGAGCTGCTGTCCTGGAACAAAAAAATTCTTTTAGGAGCAAAGGGAACTTAAAAAGTGGGACTTCTGTGGAAAATGAATTTTATTGCAACCTCAGTCAGGAAATAATCAGTGCATGAAGTTTGTGGTATGATAATTCATTATTTTCTTCCTGTTCTTCTAATTGTTTTCTTCCCATTGTTTCTTTGTTCACTGTGTATTGTGAGCTGTGAGCTGCAAGATGCTGGAGCACAACTGAGTCTAGCTGTGTGTTTAGAATTTGGGGCACTCAGCAATAGATAGATGGATTACTTTGCAAATTGCTCTCGTTTTGGTTTTTGTCATGTTTATCCTGTGTGCTCAGGTTCCTTTTTCAAGCCAGCTGCAGAGCCAAAATCTGACCATTCTAAGTAATATGGCTAGTGTCTTTTTAAGCAAAGTGCTCAAACTTCGTGGTCAGTGTTTAAACACTCTTAAGTGTCAGTATTTCATACTAACTGGCAAATAGTATTTTGGTGAGAAGGGAATAGTTACTGGTACTTCTTGCTGAAGCTGTGCTTCTCTGAAAGCTGCATCTTACATAATTCTGCGCTTTCTTTTTCCAAATATGAAAAAGGCACTTAACATTCAAATGCTGTTTGAAACAAAATCAAGAACAGAAGCAACAGCTGAGGAAAAACTTCTTGGTGGATGGTTGCATGGCAGCTTGCTTCTTGAGTCCCTGCCCTGGTATTTTATTTTTTTTTTACAGTGCTCATTTAGTTTAAAAACAAAACAAAAATCCCCTTAGAAAGGATTCCTTTGGCAGAAAAGCTCTAGTAGATACCTATGTATGAATTAGACATTGAAACTGATTGCAGTAGAAGCGGTTTAATTTGTCCTTTTTAAAAAATATTTTTTTAAAAAATAAATCAGTTTTACTTCACCAACATTTTTGATAGGTTAATAGTTTTGTGCATTTCTTGCTTTCTGATTGCTGTTTGATTGTAGCTTGAAAGAAATAATGGGTAAATGCAAAATATATTTTTTCTGCTTGCTGCATTAATTTCTTTGTTTAGCATAAGATGATCAAAATAATTTCTCTGAATAGGACTTTGAAACCCTTTATGGTGACTGTATAGGCAGTGGCATAACAACTTGCTGCTTTACTAGCTAGTATTTTTTTATTTCAAGGAGGTTAGGAAAATGAGTCTTCTCTTAAAGGCCAAAGCAGTGATCCCTGTTGGAAATCATGTACAGGATCTCGCTTCTGCCCTCCTTGATGTATGCCAGGGTATGGGGATGGATCAGCAGGGTGCTCCAAGAGGTAACATAGTGTCTGGCACCCCCTGAAGGATGCCTGATCACTTCTAGCAAGTATTTTGGCAATCTCTTTCATGTACACACCCAGTATCATCTCTAAACATAGAGCATGAAAAATGGCATTGAATGTTACCAGCAAAGTTACCACAGTCCTCTCACCACATAATGAAATCATAGAACCTCTATTTTTGAGAGAGGTTAATGAAGTCTGTAAGAGGCTTTCTTCCTTGAATTAAAGGCTTCCCTACCTCAAAGAAAAAAGCTTAATGCTTTTTGTTCCTAAGTCCAGCACACTGGGTGTGCTGTACTCTAGTGGAGAAGCCTGTGTTTGGTTTTGGTGTGTTTTATTTTTTAAAAAATAAGAAGGAAAGAAAGGAAAAATCCATAGTAAGAAGAAGGTTAAAAATACGTTCTGGGATCTTAGATATATAAATAATTTAAGTATTTTTAAATAAAATTATTTAATTTAGGAAAAATTACCCTGCAATCTCCTAGTTTTAGTCATTACTTCCTTCTAGCTTCTCTTCCTCAAGTATCCAGTTTAGATGGAACTATGTTTGCATCTAAAAACAAGAGATCTTTGCTTACTAAAGTATTCCAAAGTAAGATGTATGACCTACCTAAATATTTTTAAAGACTAGATGTCAACATCAAGCCAATACTTGATGAAAGTAGCATCATCATAGAACACCATCTACTTTAATGTATTTTGACAAGTAATTAATTTTGTAAGTTCATGAATGGAGGTTATTGTCTGTAGGGGTAAATTTTGATGAAAATCTCAGTGAACTTAGTGTTATGCTGATTTACAGCAGAGGAGGATTCAGTTCTGGGATTTCAAATCTACGACTGTGAGAACTGGCTCCTTTGGGATATATAAACAATTACTCACATTCAAAGGTGTTAAAAAGATCAGGGATTTTTATAAATACTCCTTTTTTTTCCCCTAATAATCTATTTTAAAAATGTAGGCATGGTATAGTTGTGTTGTCACTGTTGAGTGCTTGACGAAAGCTGGCATTTAATAAATATCTATCAAAATGGTACATGAATGTCAGTTACTTTTATGAAACAAAAGGTGACAGTCCTCAGACAAATAACTTCAGTGTACAGTTCCTATAGTAATTTCTTCCCCTTTATAGCACATAGGATAGTTTTGTTCTATAATTTCTTTTCTGTTTTTGTCTTCTAGAAACTGACAGTTCTACAAAGACAGAACTAAATGAAAATGCAGTAGATAAGAAAAACACAATACTTATGTATTATGTTTATATGTATTATACTTAATATTTATTGAGTATTTTAGTGTTAACCACCATGTCTTCCTTTTTATGTTAAACTGTGATAACCTGTGCAGCACAAACATACCACCTGTGCACCCAAAGATAGAACATCTGTGGAACTAAAGTAAGACATGGAGTAGCAATAAAACTTTCCTAAGGTGATACACAGAGTTAAGAACTTGTCCAGCTATCCCATAATTTTATCCAATTATGTTGGCCACATTATCATCTTTTCCAGATGTCATCACTATTTTTAAATAGATGTTTCTAGGTAGTCTATCAACTGCTTCTGCTCTGTAAATCAAAATACTTGTCTAGGAATGTTTAGATGTCATGAGCTTAGGGACATGAATTCAGGATATGTGTCTTTACTTTCTTCTTCTTTAAGACAAAGTAATAGTTTAGAATTGGCAGCTGTTCCACAGGAATCATCCTTTTTTATATATGCATGAGGTTTTATGTAACACAGCGTGTTAGAGATCTCTGCTAATCCATGACAGTTTTTAAGTTATAAAGTAAATATCTAGGTCTTGCACAGTTGAATATCCATCCTCTTAAAAAAAAAAAATAGCACTCAGCATTCATCACTTTGTTGCTACACCCTCTATATTCTTTACTCTCTCTTTAAAAAATCTCCCAATTAGTAGTTTGTTGCTGTCATCTCTGTCAGGGCTCCCCTTCCTTACTGCAGGTAGCTCGTTAGCCTGCTCCATCTGAAATTATGCATCCTATCTTTAGCTTAATTACTTATTACAGACTTATTACAGAATTTACCAACTGCACACATGTTCAGCTAATGGACTCACACTAGTTTCTGTTCTGAGTAAGGTTAGAGTGTTATTTTCATATTTTTACACTGTACCAAAATACAAAATTATGTAATTTTTTATAAAGCCCATTCCCATACTCTCCAAATACCTTGAACTTACTCCAGTGAACCTATAACAAAGTTAATTCACAGTTGAAGACACGTTTTCTTACCTTTACTACTTTTCTTTTACGAAGATGCCTAGTATCTTTCAGCTGCACCATAACCTCAAGTAATCAGTTGGCTGGTTTTGATCTTTATTTGCCTCTTCAAAAGGTAAAACACTCACGTTCAGTCACATACTACCTATGTCCTCCAAAAGAGTTCATGAGACTCCTCAGAGAGAATAAGACAGCATTTTCACTGACAAAATAACTGAGTTCTCAAAAACATTAATGGCTTTTTTCTTTTTTTTTTTTTTTTAATGAAGAAAGTTTATTGCAGGTCTTTCTCTTACAATTCTAGTAGAAAGTATAGCTAAGAAAGAAAATGACTGATTCGTAAGAACGAGCAAAGGAAAAGAATACGCTAAATACATACTATATTGAACTAAGCATTATGGTAAAGAGAAAACCTCATCTATCTTGGGACTGCAGGTTAAGGATAGCTGCTCCCCAATCCTTGTTTCCAGTGCCTGCACCAGGTGAATAGGGGGATAGCACTGACAAAACTCTGATAGCTACTGAAGGCAGCTATTTGTATTAGCTCCTCTATCAGCTCACCCTAGAACTAGGAACTGCTACACTCATCCTAGTTTAGATAACAAGCAGCAGGCTTTCCATTCACAGATCCAAAGTAATTTTCTTTTATCTAATAGGTAGTCTGACCCTGGAGAATGGTGTGAATGGGACACTTGTGGTTAGGATAGCAAATGACTTGAACAAAAAGTCTTCAACTCCAGTCTTTGTTACAAATAAATGTCCAGTGCTTATGTTTACATCCCAAGTCACTTCATTTAAAGTCATATTATCTAAACACTACCCTGCAGCCTGCAAGTCTACTAAACATGATGCAAAACCAACCATCCTTCCCTCTATCTTCAGTGTTTGTCTCATGATATTTTACAGTTAGTCCACTAAAAAATTTTTCAGGAAAATTTGCCTCTTGAAGTTTAGTAGAAAGTTGGCTAAAAATAGAGGCATCACAACAGAAAGTGAATATAAGTCCTTGTCTTCCTCTCCCACTTTTCTGAGAATCCTCATCAGAAGAAAAGAATGGGGCCTGCTTGCAGAGGTGAGGCCAAGTAACTGTTCCTAGTCTCACTGCTCACATAAAAATATGGTTAGCTACACCGTAAGTTAATCTATTTAGAGCCCAAGGCTGTGTGAAATGCAGTTAATTAAACTAACACAGATAACTTAGAAATCATCTAGCATTGCCAGAATCTTTCCCTTACTGTTGTTCTCAAGACAAGGGCAAAGAGCACTCAAAAATGCACATTCACTCACCCACTAGGAGAGGATCAGTCTCCCATGACAGAGCCTCAGGCTCTCCACGAGAGGGTGCACGCAAACTGAAAACTGTCGTGTGAAATGAAGAGAAATTGTGGCCAGAGTGCAGGGATCTTCAGTTGGATTTGGTTTCATCAGTCCTACGCACCAGGCTGATCCCCAGCAAACTCAGGAGATACTGAGGCAGGGAGCGTGGGGGATCTGAGTGGCTCAGAAGCAGAAGGGAAGAGGGTCTCGGACCCAGCCACGTGAGGATCATCAGCTGCAGCAGTAATTGCAGAAATTTTCTCCATTCCAGCTCTACCAGAGTCCTGACAGCGCTTGCTGCGGAAAATCTGACTCTCTTTATCTAGAGCTGTGTTCTAAAAACAAACGAAAAAACAACCCCAAGGCAAAATATGAAAAGAGCAGCAAATCAAAGCCCTCTCTTAACTTACAGGTTAAACAATCTACAAGACATTAAATGCATGCATTTGAGCCAGAAAAAAAGGAGAAATAGCACTAGAAATCCTATATATAATTAATGGTAATGTTTTGTGGTGCTAACTTTGGAATACGTAAGGAAAACTTGTCTTTCAGACATATGTTTGCCACGATGGTGCAAGTTTAAAATTTTGTCTTGCAAGTCTGATGTGGAAAAAATATTATATGAGTGATTATGATATTGCAGAAACACTTCATACTGGCCATTAGCAAAATTTTGGTACCTGTGCTTTTGCAGATGCATGATGCTTAGTGAAAAATTAATAATCCATTTTCTGTAATAATCCATTTTCTGTAATAAGCCATAGGTACAGAAGCATACCTGTTTGTGAAGGTGACACATGAAATCCTAACCATTTTTTCTATCTCACAGATAAGGGACTATTTTCCTGCTTAGAGGCAAGTGACCTCTCATGAAAAGAGGTGCCTCTTTCATGGTGGTGAAAAGTGTCATTTCTGAATACTATACTTAAAAATCAGTTTACTGGAGAAGAGAGCAGCAGGTTAGAATAAAAACTGAGAACTCTATAGCACAGTAGGCAAATTATCTGGAGTACTTGGTGTGTCTGTTGAAGCTCACAGCTTTCATACCCTCTGAAGGATAGTTCAAATTATACTAAACCACAGTGTAATGTGTAATTGCTACTGGAATGTCTAAAGTGACCAAGAGGGAAATCTAGTAGTTCCTTTGTCAAGAATACACAAAAATTGCTTTCTAAGACTTGAAGGGACAGCATAATCGGTCTTGTTTCACAGTCTGAAGGCTGATCATTGTAACTCATATACTTCTGATTATTGTAACTCATATACTTCTTGGCTTAACTATTTACTTTGTGGAAGATCTTCAACTACCACTGGTAACACAGATTCAAGTTAGTACAGATTAATTAAGTTCTTTGTAGTTAATTATAGAGTTAGAGATGGTGGGTTGTTCTGGAATCCATCTCACTCATACTCTCCCGCTGAACCTGTTGTATTTTGTATGATGTGGCTGTGTGCTGGAGCAGGGGAGGTATCAAGCAGCCTCATACCTCCCCTTCCCCCAAGGCCTTCCTGCCAGGCTTTTTCAGACCACAGTACTGACTATAAAAAGTTACCAAGAGAAAAGGTTAAGTACTTTGAATTTAGGGTGGAGTTTTTTGTTATGCTTGTTTTGGGTTGGTTTATTGGTTTGGTTTTGTTTGGTTGTATTCTTTGTTGTTTTGGTTTGGTTTTTTTTAAATTAAGTTACAATATTAGCCTACATGCATCAAGGTACAAGGAGAAAATTCAGTACTACACAATTTAATTATCTGCTAATAAAAAATTGGCTTAGCAAAGAATATGGAAGGAAACGACTAATGCATCAAGGCTTTTGAGATTAGCTATGATATGCAGTAGTTTATTCATTATCAAAGTAGCTCCTATGCTGGCAAAATTGCATTTCCTCTTTTGCTTTATGGAAAAAGAGATGTGAATAAAGAGGTTTCTGTTATTTCAGTGGCAGGGTAAGTTATTTAAAAAGGAAAGGAAATGCTTTCAGTTCATCCTGATGGTGATTCTCTTCTGTGCTGTCCTCACTACAGCCTCTGTAGTTGTCACAGCTTGCACACTGCCATGCATTTTAGGATTTATATATTTTTTAAAATTTAAGAGAAGGATTAATTTTACTGTTGCTAAGTAATAATGGTTTTTATTAATTTAGCAGATTGCCTTCTGAATAGCTGAAGTGACAATTAAAATTTTGATTTTAAACAGACACTACTTATTTCAATGGCCTTTTTTTTTTTCGTTCTGACTTCATAGGATTCCCATTTTTTTTCCTATTTGCTTTTGGATATTTTAAGATATACATATGCACAAAAATTACTCCCAGGGAAATAGACCAAGATATGTCTCAGGAAGTAAAAAATAGCGAGTTGTATCACTATTTGCCTAGAATAATTCCAATATACATTACTTAATACAGAAAACTTATTTGTGTTTAAAAATTTTTACTGTGTGATTGTAAAGCTCTTTCCACTTCAGACTGGCTGAGTTATTTCTCCTTTCTTTTTGTTAAAAATGGAGGACATGTATTTTTTGTGCAGCAGAACAAAGCATTGCAGTTAGTACGTACCATTGTCTTGGACCTACTCAGAGGAAAGCAATGCAGGCATTGGGAAAGCAGGAAAAAGGAAGGAAGCAAGGGACAGAAACTAGACTTACTTTAAGCAGAACTAACACAATTGCAACAAATTAAGATTTACAGAACATTTTGAAATTGACAAAAAAAATCACTAATGAATTAACAGCAACATGCTTTTAAGGGCAGAAAGAGTCTCCTTTGCAAGAACACTGAAGTAGGTATGTGCAGTTTTACTTATCTGCCACATGATGGTATTATCTGCATTGGCCAGATGACAATATTTGAATGAAGTGATGCTAAAGGGGACTCCATTAAATATGAAGATGGACTGATATAGCAATGCACTGCAATACATGAGAGTTATAATACTGTGCTTTTCTGAACCTGAATGCTTGAGTGCTAGTACAAGTGAAAAAACTTCTAACGTGAACGTAATTAAATGTCAATGTTCTAGATAAACCAGGGCAAGAAAACAAATTGAGGGCTTAACCCTCATTAGATTACGGTGGTTTGAACAAGAAGTTACTTTCTGAATGCAGCAAGAACTGGGAGCTGAATTCAGAAATAAATAATTATACATTTACTTCCTTCCATAACTGTTAGAAGGAAATAAGGCAGGAAAAGGGAACATGAAAAGTTTTAATGAGGTGTACTTCCCTAGCTGAAGGAATGTAAGTAGCTAACAGAATAAGAAAAAATCCACACCAAAAAGAAGCCAGAAGCTACGCTGTGTCAGAGATTTGAGACAGGCTTAAGTGGCATGCAAGTTGGAGAGGGGCTGAGAGTTAGAATTAAAATTGCTCTTATTACATATATTGCATTTTATACCAGTTTTCAGCTTCAGGCTTATCCATAGTCTCAACAGTATAAAGAATGAAGCTCTGAAGTCCCTCTCAAACTGTCAAGTCAAACTGTCAAATGAAATGTAGACAACAGCATGAACCTGAAATACATTTTCTGACTTCTCTACGTTTAATCTTTGGCCTATTTAATTCACGTAAAAGTTTTTGCAACAGCATATACGTATGCAGAAGCATTATATAAATTTACCTGCTTTCAGATGATTTAAATGATTCTTTGTTAACATAAGTGGGCTGGACTTTGAGAGTAGTTAATAGTAACAAGAAGGGGATGGAAATCACTGTTATGTTACTATTATAGGTGGTTTTATTTTTCTTTTAGTAACAAGATACTCCATGCACTGTGACCATGCTTGCATTAAACAAGAATGGACCACAGTAAGAGCAGAATGGCACTTCAATGTCTATAGCAGTTGCATATTGTCTGCAAAAGTAACTGGTCAATTACGAGTGCAGTTCTGAGTACTGATAATACTAAACTCCACTTCTTCTACCATGATTCACACACCTGCCTTCTGGAATGACTGTTTATTTAACTTCAACTATAGGTCATCAGGTTCCTTTGTATGCTTTGAGGAAAGTTCCCCATTAGGGAACAGCAGGGGTTAATTAGGACAAAATTAATATGGTAAACATTCAATACCATGAAGAAAGTTTCTGAAATGGAGCCTGTTTTTCTGGCAAAAATAGTGTTGTACAAGATTAAGCAATACTTGTGCAGAGGGGAAGAGCCTACCTAACTAACTAGGTGGTCATTACGATAAAAAAATACAGTTTTTATATTAAAAAGTTTCAAATAATTATTAAACTTCATTTCAAAATAGCACTACTTAGTGTTTACATATTTATACTTGAAAGTTTATTTTTATAGCTTAGCTAGCACACTGTGATAGACTCGGTTGCTCTCAAGCAATGATGAGACAATCCAGACTATACATAAATAAAGACTAGAATTAGAGACTATTCTAGCTTTGGTTTTGCTATTCTTGCAGCACATATGCTCATAGAGCACTGTTAGGAAAATATGCAACATATAATATTGATGTAGAAAAATGACTGTTTCTCTTACCATGATGACAGAAACCCCAGCAGATGTGTTATTTTGCTTAGGTAGGGTGTTATTAAAGTGCTGCTTCAGTTTACCTGTTACTTCAGCTTGCATATTATTCTCCTGGGAAGCATCATCCTGTATAAGAATAAACACAATATTCAATTTAGGGGGGAAAAAAAAAAAAAAAAAAAAAAAAAGCATGCTTCAATGTAACTTAGTAAAAGAGAAGTTTCGACTTCAGGAACTTCCTGAGAAGTAAGCATTCAGACAGACAGCCTAAAAGTGAATGCACTCTGCTACAGAAGAGCTAGATCAAATGGGTTAAGACAAATTACAGAGGAAAGGCATGTAGCAACCACTGTTTTATGTATAAATTTCTATTTCTTTAAGTGCCATGTGACACTGTATGTCCATTGATTTGCCCCAGAATTATATGCTGCAAGTTTGATTTAAGCATGTTGAAATAACATTATTCAAATAATGTTAAATATAAAAGATATATTTGTCACTTGGCTTTCTTTTAAATTAGCATTTTTAATGGTCCTTAGTGTCCTAAGTGCAGACACCTTATACAGTACTATGAATATGCTTGAGAAGAGCTGTTATGCATATGCACTTGTTAGTTTTCTTCTCTTGTTTGAGGGAACACTCTAGATCATATTAGGCCCCTCTTTTAAAGTGCATGTGGTAATATACATTGACTATGTATATGTAACCGTAGAATTTATTAATAATGAACTAATTTTAAATCAATAAGCAATGCACTTTGGTGTTCCCCATTGCTGTTTCCCAAAAAGATGGAGGGCAGCCATCAGCTTCATGCCTGTGTTAAATTAGGTATTTTATTGATAATTTTATTTCTCTTATGAAACTTGAAGAGCTTCAAGAACAGGAGATCATACTTTAAGCAGCACTGCAGCAAGTAAGATGCCAACATGCACAGCAGTGCTTCCACGTACGCATTTTTAAGATGGCTGTTTTCTTGAAGATTGAATGTGAATTAACATAAGAGATGCCCAAGTCACACATAATCCTGTTGTGCTGGGTTTCAGCAGGGTTATAGCAACTCTCAGCATCTTCTAATTGTAGTGAGCAAGTGACGCCCTCACTCTGTTCTTTCGGAACATAGAAGCTAAGAGTGCTGTCAGAGCTGCAGCTAACTGCAGACTCCTGCTGTTCTCTTTTATGTGGAAATGGGAATGGTGGTTCAATAAACAGAAAGGGCATAGCAGAAGTGTAATGTTTCTGATGAAAACTACACTTTGATAGTCAGATGTACAGATTTAATATCTTAATATGAAATTAGAGACAAGTAAAATGTAATTTACTCACTGACACCCAGGGATGGCTTAGGATCTGTGCTGCTGTATACCGAGCTTCAGAATTCACATGTAACATCAGGCTAATTAAATCCTTTATAAAAAAAAAAAAAAAAAAAAAAAAAGAGAGAGAAAAAAAAAAGAAAACTTTGAGGAGGTGGGGAAGGATATTGCAATGGAAAATATTGTTGCACCAAGTTCTTCTCAGTGTTATTTTCTTGCTACCTGGGTGAAAAAAACCCAACAGCTTACACTGATATCAGAACCACTGACACCAGTGTGACTTTGGGGGGGCAAAAAAAATTTTGCTCATTAGATTTAAGAGTATGCTCAACAGGATATTTCGTATCTACTTCCTTTTTGTATTCATGTTTCACTGAGTCTTTTGAAACAAGATGAAGAGGAAATGTTAAAAAAAAAATCAGCTATAATGTTACAGTTTGTTCTCTATATATTTGTGCAGATGACCAGAATGAAAACAAACTTGGGACAGTTGAGATCATCCATGGGCAGTGTACATGTACATAGTACCAGTACATAAAGAGCACAGTAAGAGGCAAGAAACTGCATCAGAAATTCAAGAAACTGCTGAAATTATTTGAAAGCTATGTTCTCTTCTGTGTTGCTCCAAAAGAATAAAAAAACCATTTAATTAATTTCATCAGCTAAGGATCACCTGGTATAGGAAAAAGCAGATACATAGTAGAATTATGCATTTTCCTCTTTCTAATTATGTAGTTAATTCCAAAGTTTGGTACTGTAGTTTTAATAATATTTTAGAGTCACTAGAGCAGATGCCTTTAGTCTTTCCAAATACTTGGGGCCTTCTGTTAATGGCACCTACAGATACGATAAACCTTAAGAGGTCAATCTGGGGCTTTGAGCAACCAGGTCCAGTGGAAGGTATCCCTGCCCATACAGGGGCGTTGGAACTAGATGATGTTTAAGGTCCCTTCCACCCCAAACTATTCTATAATTCTATGATACAAAGCAGTCATTAGAATATTTTTTTTAAAAAAACAAACAATAAAAACCCAAACCAACTGTCTTCAGTTGTTTATTCATTTAAGTTTCTCGTTACGCAATGAACAACTACTTTGCTGGTGAAATTCATGGTTCTACAAGCCTATTAAGACAAACCACATCCCTCTCCTAATGAAAAACTTAATGTCCTTGGAGCCAAATTCCCACTCGAGAAACCTTTTATAGTCTCCAATTGTCAGTATTAATATTCTTATAATAAGCATTTCAAGGGGATTGTTCATCACTTCAGTTTTGGGAAACTGCTTCTTTAAGCAGATAATAAGGTACCTAACCAAGAGATTTCCCAACCAGCAAAGTCATTTAGTGTATGTAAGTTTAGTGTGAAGTGAAAGGACACCTTTAGTACCAAGACTTGGGGGCCTTGCTTTTCCAGAATGCATGTCTGGAAGAGTGTGAGATGACTGAAGCCTGGGAAATGTGTAAACAGTCATTGAGAAATGTAGAAATGCTGCAACTTCTCATTGGTTGGATACCAAATAATCTCCACTTGCTAGTTAAGAGTCCTCAGATACCATTCATAGCATGTTACTGAAACAGCTTGAGAAGTGGGACTTAACTTAAAAGTTGGAACTTTCATCCTACAGACTCAATCATTTTAAACACAAATGGCAATGATAACACAAGAACTATTAGCAGTGGCAAATCAAGCTGACTGCACCTCCTGAAAACTTCTAATGACTGACTCAAGTAAAATAGGAACAAAGTATGTCAGCTGCATTCAATCCACATAGCAGTATTTTTTTCTTTTTAAAGATAGGAAGGAAAAATTCAGAGAGACACTAATTTTACAGCTGAAGCACTGAACCTGCTATAATAGTCCACCATTAAGTAAACTGAATATCATGCACTCCCTGAATGCAACTGGCATTCTGCTACACCTATTATACACTCAGACAATGACACGATGGCCAGCAAAACCTGAGCTTTCATCAAGCACTGTTAAGCTAGCTAACTAAAAAGGCATAACAGCTGGAAGAGTGATTATGAGTCTGCTCTGAAACTTTGATTCTGCTTTTCCAACAGAGCACAGTCAGTAGCTTGTCAAAAACACTATTTCAGGTTGGAGAACTTATCAGTACCTTTGCTGAATCAGTGATGTTATCCCAGTAGGGAGAAGGAAATTCCAGCTTCCCAACAAGTATCTGATCAAAGAGGTCTTCCTGAAGGTTGTTTTCACTGTAGGACAGCAGTAATGGAAAACTTCATGAGAAATTTGTCATGCAAATTTTTAACTTGATTTGGGAATGGAACAGTTATGATGTTATATCATCTACTAGAACTGCATAATTTTCAAGCTTATATAGCAGCAGCACTTCTGAGGTGTTTGCTGTAGTTACGCTGTCAGGAGTGATGAGAACTGGAAAACTAATATATTGAGGTGAAAGAACTTCCACTGGAATAGAGACTTTATAGCTAATATACAGGAACAGGAAAGGTCATAAAAAATGAGTCACGTGCCAGCTTAGTCCTAAAGGACTTGCTACAGAACATATATAATAGGGGGAAGAAGTGCAGTGAAACAAGCCTCTTTTGTTAAACTACCACAGAAGAATTTTCAAAATCCAAAGAGGACATATGGCAAACACATGATATACATAGTTTGCTGAGTATTGGCAGGGTACTGATTATGAAAGGGTAAGTACTTTTGTATCAAAAATGTGGTATTGTGAATATACAGCAACCACTGTTAGTGGGGTTTTTGTTTTTTAACCTCACTCTGTTGGCCCTAGCCACTGTGAATATCTACCTGGCCTATTTCTGCAATTAACAGAAAAAATTATTAACCTTGGTTAAGACCTGATTTTATGAGCATGGTATGGACATTCACAGTGTCCAACTCAAAGATTCTATTCAAAGCAATTGTAATTTGTTTGTGAAATAAAATCTTTCAAAATGTTTTCAGTTTTAAACATGCAAAAAACAAATACCTAAACAATTATATTTTTCCATTGAAAATTGTTTTATATTGTATCCTCTGCAAAAATTCTTATTCAGTCTTGTGATTTTTAGTTTTTGCTGTAAAAATGGTCAGACTGTGCACAAATAACTTATACATTAAAAGAATAATTCCTTATTAAAATGTGCGCGTTCCTTCTCACTCCCTTGCAAAATACCTAGAGGCCCAAAGCATATATCTATTTGTTTTTTAGAGGAACTCATATGTATTGTGCCATTCAGTAACAGGGATCATGTTGACAAACTTCGCTGCTCAAATGATACATATAAAAAAGACAAACAAGGGTTAAAAGTGCAACGTAAGCAAATTATTCCCCTCGCCTCAGTTTACCATCAACCTTCACTCAACCGCACAAACCAGTAAGCTGCTATGACTCAACAGAAACACAAGGGGGCAAAGTAGACACGTTCACTGAACTAGATCCAGCTAGAAGACAAGAGAAGAAACCATGCCCTTATACCACCATACCCCTGCACAGACACAGGAGTAAACCAGTTGCTCCCTTAGAAAAGTCAGTAATAAAATCGATCCCAAAAGCTGACACTTGGAACAGGTGAAAAAAATTTGAAACAAATAACAAAAAAATAAATAAAATGTGTCAATCTAATCCAGTTTTTCCCCAGGATGCCTTCTTCAAGGGTATAGGTAAGACTCGCTCAGAAACAACTTGGTTCTTTAGTATTTTTTCCCTTTGCCATACAGGGACACTCACCTTCGAAAAGGTGGAAATCCACATAACAGTATGTATGTGATCACACCTGCAGCCCAAATATCCACCTTTAAGCCGTATCTGAGAAAACAAGACTGTGTTACTTGTTTTAGATTTTAAAGAAGTCATTCCAGTCAAACAATTCATTACATTTATGTGAAGATATATTGAGAATATGTTTTAAGTTACTTGCTCGTGATGTGGAAATATATTTTGTACCTAAGCATCATTTTAGTTAGCATTCTTCACAGTTGTTAAGAAACTCTGATAGCATAGTTTTTCATCTATTATATTTTTTTTCATAAGCCTCATGGCTCTTCAGGTTCTTCTGAATATACTGAGATTCATCTCAGAATGCAGGTTTCTCAACACAAAATCACTAATGATAAAAGACAAGGATGTGCTTTCTCAGTCCCCATATTGGAGTACCTATCTCTAAGGTTATCATGTGTTGCTAAGCAACAAGAAATACACCGATTCTCCAGTCTCTTGAGTGAGCACCAGAAGGTAAAAGAACTGCACCTTTCTTTTAAAGCACATAAATTAAAACACTAGAGGTCAATAAGAGGTCTTTTTCTCTATTCTTTTCTTCCCAGTAAATTCAGTTTGTCAAAATTTAAAACAGGAAGATGAAGTGTCCTTTGATATTTGAGCTCATTGCAGCTGTGAAATATTCTTTCATGAGAAATGCATTGAACAATGACTGAAACAATAAACAAACTTCCCTCCATTAGGAAGACCAAATTCAGAATGGTTGCAGCAATGGCAAGAGTCAGCTAAGATGGAACAGAGGTCTAATAAGATGACTTGTGAAATTCTACCATTTTTCAAAATTATTTTGTATTTATGCAACCACCTGTTAAATACAGAGAAATGGGCTTGTTTAATTAAACCAACAGTTATCAAATAGCATACTTCAAGCAAACATGGTCACTTGAATCAATATGATCTAAGTGGACCTCCTCTGAGAACAGGTTTAGACTAGGTGGATCCTAGACTCTCTTTCAATATAAATTATTCTAACATGAACAGTCTTTTTTACTTAACCATTTTTTCCCAAGTAGGTGCCACGTCTGGTATAATGGGCTCTGAACAGTGAGGTGAGGCAAGGAACACAAACCAATAAGTTCCATGCATCAGTACTGGTCCTAGAGTGGCGGTAGGGAGGCAAAGGTGAACTCTAAGAGCAAGGCCCCAGGAAACTGGGAAGGAAACCTGCCTCTTCCAGGAACTGAATACTGCCTGTTTTCTTATAGGTGGTTTGATTAGGAAAAAGATGGAGTACCATCCTATTAGGGCATTCTAGTTCTTACAACAGTTAGGAACTACCTGCCAAAAGTAACTAGTTACAAGACCTATGACTTAGTCATCCTCACCCTGTTTCTGCAATGATTTCTGGAGCCACATAAGTGGGTGTACCACAGACAGTATATAAAGGTCCTTCAACCACAGTTGCCAGCCCAAAGTCTCCTAGCTTCAAAGACTTGGTTCCATCTGGATATTCACATACCTAGAATCAGCAAAATAAAAACAGAATGAGAAGAACATCTACATTTTTTAAATCCTTTAATTTGTTTGGAAAATAATCAGCATCACTCTAAGATTGGAAAAAGAGCTAACTTTCACATTCCTACAGGGAAAGAAGAGAAAAATGGTATGACCATTGATTGCCACAGTGCAGCTGGAGCTGGTGTTCAATGGAGCTCTCTGTCAGCTATGTAGGTCAGACCATGATTTAGCTTCAAGCAACTAGGGGTGGTGGGGTGGGGGAGGAGAAAAATAAAATCCAATCCTAGAATGCTGAGAATTTTAAAATATAATAAGAAAAATATAATACTATACTTCCATTTGATTGGGACGTGTAGTTTAAAATAGCATTGGCAGCTACAATTACATTTGTTTGACATCTCTCACTAACTCAGCGTAAATGTTGTCAGTTAGCAATACTGGATATTTCATAGGCAAATGTCTTCTGTAAGCTTAGCCTAGGCAAGTTCAGAATAGGAGTGTGAATGCTGACTGAGAAGTGCTTCTGTTTCTCTGCCGACCCAAGTACATCTTACCAAAAGGCCCATAAAGAATCTAGAACATCTTGTTCTGAGTCATTCTGTTGATGAAAGAAGCTAAATTTTAGTAGAAAGAAAAATAATATATGACAGTGGAAACAAGAGTAAATGAAACCAGACCAAGAGCAAAGGAAACATCCCTAATAAATTCGTCTCAGTTTTGTTCTTCAAGTAAAATATTTATATTAACATGATTTCAATAGGATCTAGTTTCTAGGGTGTAGGAGTGCAGAATCTCCAGAATATCTGAATTTATTTGCTTTTCTCAAATAAATTAATACTGCTAAGGCTGCAATACGTTCCTTCATTCCCTGGTATAAATCGTATCATTAAGGGAAACACTTGTTCTCCTTGATATAATACCATCATATCTGCTATTACTATTAGAGTTTGCTTTTTAAAATATATAACAAGTAAAGATAACATAAATCAGACAGCTGGATTGACCCTGTGCAAAAGAACTATGTACGTGTAATTATAGGTCACAATTTATGAGAATTATTTGCATTTGCATTCAATACCAGTAGGTTATCTTAACACTCTGCCAGTGTCAATCACAGTGAATAAGATTTGCATCTGTTAAGTAATCTCTTTAGGCTTTCTAGACAGAAAGGACATTTGTGCCTATTTATAACTGATTCAGTCACTAATGAGAGCTTAAAATTTGTTTGCACTGGCTATGCTTGAAGATGCATTGATAGTGAGACTTCCACCTTTATTTTCTTTCTCTGAAGTGCCATGTTGCTGTGACTACATTTTCCACAAGAAGCACTCCCTCCCTTCCTTTTGGTAATCAATCTAATTAATTTTAAGGCTTATTTAAATTGCTAAACACTGTCAGTGGAATTAGATGGGAAAGAATTGACTATTAATTGGAAAATATTTTCAACTTACAGCTCTATTCTTGTAATAGTTCCAAGTCCAGTCTGGGATAAGCCATGATTTCTACCCTAGATGCAACCTCATTAAACAGGGTTGACAAACACCACAAAAGGCTTTAAGAAATGCCTATGAAGTGTTGATGAAAGCTACCAGTATTCTTGATGATAGCGGCTCAATCAGGAAAGATTACAGCCCTGTGTATAAGCAAGATAGCATGCTGTTTCTATTCTGTGAGCTGCAGTCCATGCAGTTCCCAAAGTAGACTACATGTTAATTCTTGTCAACACAATTATTTTACATTGTTGCTGAAAACAAAAGCAGTCAGTCCCCTGGGACAAAGTAAATGTATGTACAGGGTTAATTCCTGGCTACCATACCGGTGAATCATCAAAAAGATGTTCCTACTATGACAGTGAAAGAAAAAAAAAAAAGTCTTGAGATAACCATAGGACACATTCAAATAAGTGGCACTTAGCCCACCTTTTATCCCACTTGCAAACGATAATAAATAATTCATTGACATAGCTTTGAAATTGATTGTTTTGTGAGACAGTACTCCTGTTCATCCAAATGGCAGCTAATCAAAATGTAGATAAAGATAGGTCTAAGGACGGGTTTGAGCACAGCTCACCTCAGTTACGGTGATTGCTATCTCGTGACAGAAGATTTATTTCATGCAGACTTATTCTAAATTAATGTTCCTGCTGTTCTCAGCTCAGCTCCTTGACATTTATATACAAGCATTTGCATTAATGAGAACAAAGTAAGGGAAAATATTAGAAGATAAATGGGACATACCAGGAGATTTTCTGGTTTGATGTCTCTGTGCACAATGTTGAGACCATGAAGGTATTTGAGGGCACTGGCTAGATTGTAGACCATTGCACTCCCATCTCGCTCTGTGTATTTTGTAGAAGAAGTGATAGCATCAAATAGATCTCCTCCCTAAAGGAACAGAAAGGTAATAGATCACTACTGAAAAATACTTAAGACTGTAATCTTTCACAAAAAAAGCTTGGTAAAATCTTCCTTCAGAAAAGGCATGCTAAAACACCTGTTAAACAGTAAAAAAAAACACACTATTTTGCAGAAAGACAATCTTGTCACTGACATACTAGATGGCTTGAGTCATGAACAGCAGATTTTCAGCTACAATCCAGGCTTCTGATGTCTGAGGTTGGGCAAATTACAGGTCTCTTCTGTCTTGATGTCATTCTATTGATCTTCCTATCTTTGATCACTCATTTGTATTACCTACAGGTACAGGCACACATTTTCCTTTTTTTTCATCTTATCAATATAATAGCTTTGCATAGAAAAAAACAGCCCTGATTCTGAGTGAAGTCTAATATAAATTAGTCCAATAATAAAAAGCCTAATGTAACAAATATTCAGCAACTGCAACAAAGTGCAGATTGGAATTTGCATAGATATTGCAGTAATATCAAATAAAAAAGCTGAAGAGGACAAATACACAAGTGTGACATTTTCTAATCTAAGTGATTCCATGATAGACCAAAGTGCAGAACCTACAGATTATTTCTGAATGTCCCATTTGTGCAGTCTCTGATTATGGATGCCCTATTCCTCTTGGAATACATAACATGTAAGCAAGCTACTGATGCAGCATTCCCACTCATTGTGAGAAATTTTATGTGGGTGTCTCTATGATTGTTACCCTGGCTACATCTGTAGGAGTGATCTATCTGAGCTGTGGGTGGCATTCCACACATTTCAATACATGTGGAAGAGAAGCAGCAAGTCAGGAAATACAAGCCAAGATGGTGGTGCATTAAAATATATTAAAAAAATACTGTTGTAAACCCAAAAAAGCCTCTACTATATAAAAATAACTTCTAGAAAGGAAGAGAAATGGGTAGGCTGAAGAAATTACAAATTTATTAATTCAACAACTAGACACTTTCCTTAGAGGTTTCTCAAGCTGGCAGCCATTGAAAAGGACTCTTGTATCTAACAATATTTCGGATAGAAATAGGAAGTGATGGTAATTATATACTTGTATCTGACATGCTATCAAGCTGATATGCTGTGTTGCTTTGTATGGACAGAGCACAGACAAGAGAGTGCATGACTAAAACTTGATGCAACTTGTATATTTGGTTCACAAGATGACAGTGAAATGAAGATTTTTGTTTTCTCTGTATGTGTATGAAACTATTTTCTGGTGAATTGGAAATGAGTGAATGGTATAAGCAAAACAGGTTGAGACTTTTTTAAATTTTAATTTTGCTGGCTCATAATTGCTTGAGTTTAAACTATTAATTATATCCATTGTCCACTAAGATAAGTTCATTAAAGAGAGTTTTTTTCTGTAAAGCAAATTAGTAAAGATATTAGTGAAATAAATGCAGACGTTCTTTCAGTAAAAGAGTATCAGTACTACTGTCACATATTGTAAAAACCACTATCCACTTCCCTCTAGACTGTGCACATTGCAAGATCACCTCAAATCTGTGTGAGTAGTTTAATTACAACTGAAGAGACATAAATTCCATTCATAAAATGGTTTGACATGAGCATTTGAGTAATCAAAAATGCAGGTTACCACTGAAATCTGATTATGTCTCCCAAGATCTTAATTAAGATACTTCTTAGATTTCACACCAACACGGAGAATTTTAAGGGGAAAAAAAAAAGTCTCCTTAATGTTACCTTGACCAGTTCCATCACCAGATAGAGTTCTGTTGGGGTATCCATTTCTTCTATAAGCATAATGATATTTGGATGCTTCACTTGACGTAGAATAGACACTTCATTTTCAATCAGGTGTTCCTGTTCAGAAAAGAGGATGAAAGTTTATCTGAATAGACTTGAAATTGCCAAGTCACTTTTCCTTTGCTCAGCCAATCACTTGATCAATAACCATACTTTTGGCTGTTTAATTAATACAGTAGAGGGTTATTGTCAGATGCTGGATTTTAACTTGTATTTAGACCAACCATACTTTATCATTGACCAAATATTGGTTATGTGTGTGTGAAATATGGTATTTTAAATTAAATTGGGTCAATGATATCTTTGAAAAAAGATCCCAGAACATGGCAGCAATTCAGGAAGTGCAGATTATACTCTTATGTCAGTATTATGAGGTGAAATTCAGGTCAGAACCCTCCGGTCACTGAGCTGGATCACTATAACCTGCCACCCCCATCAACATTTCACATGCTTTTGATCCTCTCCAGCCTTCTCCTCTCATTTAGCATAAGTTACTCACAGACAGATTACCTAGGATTTATTTTCAATGACTTAATTTTTAAAAGAAGTTCTGGATTATATACAGGAAAAATAATATAATTGCTTTGGTTATGGATTTCAGATAATTCTATAATGTATGTTCAGATATACAATGTGCAAAATATGTGACAGCTCAGTTAAGTTGTAGCTTCAACAACTTAATAGCACACAGATTGAGTTTAATTTCCCCTTCCCTATACTTCTGAAAAAGTAATGGGCTTCAGGAACAAATTAGTTTCAGAATTTTTTGTTTTCTAGAACATTTTGGCACTTGGTTAACATCAGAGAACAAAGAAAATTACAAGCCCCTTCCCTGTGCAGAATTATTAGTTTTTTTCCTTTAGAAATATTGTAATACAGATATTGCATTAAGGTTCACTGCAAAATAAGTAACAGTGCTTGTATAAGACACTTGTTTCCTTACACTTTGGCAAATAAGTCATGTCACTGGACTTGAAAATAATTCATGTTTAATGCACTAACTAGTAACATGCACTTCATGCATTTGTGAGCAGAGCACTACAAGTAGATGTGATCCACTGTGCACAGGCAGTGATTGAAGATCTAATGCTACTTCATCTTCTATTTCCAGGGTTATTTATAGATTCCTTGTATTTTGCCACAGCTTTATGTGGCTATTAACTCAGAAACCACATGCCATGTGTGCATCTCATTTTGTGAGAGTATGGTGCAGCATATAGGGGCTAAACAGTCACACCTTTGAAATTCAGTTTGAAAAAAGCATCAATTGTCATTCTGTACAAACATTTGCCTGTTCCAAGCAAAGTGCTCTGGAGAAGAAAACAACAAACATGAAGCAGTTTTGTTAAACACAGTGCCGAACCTCATCAACAAACAGAAGTGAACAGCCACAGCACACTAGGCCCTATGGATGGAAGCCTGTAAATTTAAAACTAGCATTAAGAGTCTGAACAAAAAACAGAAGCTTATTACAGCTTTTTCTACCTAAAGAACAGATAACACATTTAATTATGGCTAAGTCAAAATAACTTTACCTTGTGCTTTCTTTGTTTCACTTGACTGAATTGTTAATTATTTCAATACAAGTCAGGCACAAGTAACTTGTATTTAAAATAAACTGTTTTTTTAAAGGCTCTAAAATGTTGTTGAGCTGCTCTTTGAGTGTCTGTCATGAAAATTCTGACTAATATGTCATTAGTTATTTTAAACCACCCTACTGTTTTCACTCGACTTCGTTTTGTAAAAAAATAGTTCTGAAACTTGTTACAATATTCCCCTATATAGTGCAATTTAGATATCAGTTTACATGAATATGTTTTGTTTACCGAGAAATTATTGTATCATTAACACTTAAGCTGCTTTCAAAAAATACATCAGTCAATTGGATTCCGGTTCCAAGACATTCAAGAAAAACTGCTGGAGAGCAGTGAGCCACATACAGGTCATGCATATTTGGGCCAGATAGGTGTTTTTAAGGCAGGGCTAACATTGACATGTGAAATGGAGTGAGAAGGAGTAAGCTGTAGCAAATTTAATTTTTTGCTTTGTTGAAATTCCTACTGGACCATTCTGTCACTGCCCTAACAGGAGTAAACATCTTCCTAACAACAGTCCTCTGCTCAAACATACACATACATCTGTATGTAACTCCACACACAGGTTCTCTCAAAACAGACAAGTAAGCATCCATGGGGTTGATGTTTTAAATTTGTTTGTTTTAGAGCACTGAGAATGATAAGTAGAAAATATGTCTAAGATCTACTGTATAAAATTGATTGTCTATCTCTAGACCATCCCAATGCCTAAGCAGCTGACTCAGACAAGTAAGAAAAACCATCTAAAGTTGCAAGCTGTACACATGACCCAGAGGTTTTCTTTTGCAGTGAAACACACTGGGTTGCCCTTCCCACAGAAGAAGAAATGACAACAATTTAATCTCAAAAAGGCAACTCTAGCACTTTTTCTTGTTGTTATACATTTTTAAGATCCCCTTAAATAAACCTGAGGCAGGAACACTTACCTCTCTTACACACAATTTAAAACCTGCATAGATGAAACATTTCTATTTGCAGATGTCTACTTTAAGCAGGTCATCACAGCAGGTAATGCCTTAGTGCACAGTAATATACAGCTCCTTACGATTCAAAGAATGTCATACAGATTTGCCACATCTTCCTACAAGGTTACATTCCACCTTTGGAGCCCCGAATTACACTTCATGTAACTGACAAAAAGGGTACGTTTGATTCAAAACCTTGGCTTGGTTGCGTAATAATTTCAATGCAATAATTTACATAAAAATTAAGGTGCATCAAAACATCTTTTCAGCCTTACTTCAGAATTCTCTATTTCCTACTCTCAGAGAGCCTTTAATCCAGAATTTGATTGCTAATTAATACTGTGCCCTCAGTGTTCTGTTAGCTAACACTAAACTATGATCCATTTGATTCATAAATTCCTTCAGAGCATTTTGTTTTCCAAGTATTGCAAAGCAGTGAATATAGATGTATTGTATTTATTGTTATCTATTCAAACATGTAGTCTACATGATGTAACACTGCTGAAGTGACAATATAGGACTATTTTTTTGAGCTGGAATTAAAAGAAAGTTTAAGGAACTCTTTTGTTAAAGAGATTTTGTTATACAGGATTGTGAAACTACATAAATGGAAATCAATATTTGTGAGAATTTATTTCCAATTCTATGTTCTCCATATAAAAGGGGCATGTACAACCATAGAAAGATTAAGATAAGATAGAGGGAGTGATGGGAATGATATAAATACACACAGAGCTATAAATTTCCTACCCGTATTTTAAAGATCAAAATCTTTCTAATATAGTTTGGACACATATTAGCATTTTCTTTGTTAGTTCAAGGAAATAGATGACAACGTGTTTATATTTTACTCTGTAATCCAGTAGACTAAGACTCACTATGTTTTAATATTTGCTTCTTGGATATATTATAATCCAGGCAAGCAGATATCCTGAAAATAGACAGAGCACTCAAACACACCCACCACTGATGACAAATAAGCAGCTGCTAGTGCTGTTTCTGCTATTTTTTGTTTTACATGCAAATTGTTGTACACTACCTTTCCACAGCATTTAGCCTTGTCTATGATCTTCAGTGCAAACTCCTTTCCTGTGGATCTGGCAAGGAAAACATGAGAAACGTTAATTAGAAATTGGTCAACAAACTCTGACATTATCTGTAAGAAAATACATAATTGTAACAGAATGCCTTGGATGTTGCTGACAGGATATTCACAAAAGGCACTTGATTTTGTGGGTTTTTTGTTGTTGTTTGTGTTGTTTTGTTTTGTTTTATTCCTCAGCAGCATTTGTGCCTGCTGTTTCCCTGACTACCACAACCTAGCTCACTTTGTGTATTAATCCCAGGCTCCAGCTGCAATTCATTCTTCTTTGACCTGGCACAACTCCCCATCACTTCTACAACGCAACCTAAAAAATTTTTCTTGAGCCTTCCACTTCCTTTTGTTCAACTGGCAGGCTTTATAGATAAAATCATACACATGTATGTGTTAGTGAGCAGAATGAAGACTGATAATACCAGTGGAAAAATTCAATAGGATTCAGCAGAGCTAAAACCCAATAGTTCATTACAGACTAGTTTAAAACCCCTCAGAATTTATTAGGCACTAATTCTGACCTTTTATATTTCATTTTTTCTTTATGTTTTTAAGTACTCTATGAAATTCTATAGCAGTCATCTAAACAACCATGAAGAGGGTGGTTATGTACAAAGGATTACTGTTTTCAGTGAATACTCTCACAGAAAGGAGCTGATGTTTGCCTTTTATCCCTTTAAGCAATAAAATTCTCCATTTCTCCAGAAAGGGAAAAAATGAGAGGAAAAAATCCAACATAAATTATGTTTTTTTCTTCTTCTTTACTAAAAAGACATTACTACTTATATTAATGATTAATTAAAAACCAAAAGAAAATCCCATTAAGACCCTGTTGTTTCTTTTTTCTGTTGTGTCAGTACCTACAGGCTCCTTTGTGCATAAGAACACCACTAGCATGTGGTTACAAACCCAAGTCAGGAATGCTTTTTAACTTCCAGGTTAGTTTTCACTATATTTTTGGCATTAGATATAACTACTCAAAATCATTACCTTACAAAAAAAGAAACTAAATGAATGTTTTGCATTTGATTTATCCATTATTGAAAAAAATGCAGTAGAGTACTTGCTCTCAAAGTGCAGCTGTATCTGAGAGGTTGTCATAGTTACAACCTTATCTGGTCTTTAGATAGAAGTGTTATCTAAATGGTATCTGTGAAATGCCATCCTCTTATATTATCGACCTGTGGTAAAATCTGCTATGAATACAGCGTGTAATTCAGAATCACAATTTATGCATTATACTACATGAAGTGCATTATCTGAAAGCCTGCAAACAACTGATCAACAAAACCCCCTTTTTAAACCTTTGGCACTTACGCTGTGTAGAAAGGGGAAAAAAAAAAGCCAATTTATCAACGAATTTCAAACCCCTCTTGCAAATGTCATTTACTCCAGTACCTAAGAAAAAAACGTGGCTATCATCCACATAATTTGTGTGCTAATACCACTGCCTATCACCAGCATAGTCTGACAAGTTTCTGGTATTCTTCTCTCTAGCTGTCAGTGTCCATCTGTTGACTCATGTCATTGTATACAGAAATATAGGCATCCTTTACAAAGAGACTATCTTATTCTTTTTGTAGAACAGCTAGTATAATAGGATCCTGGCTCCAAAGCTAAGACTTGTAAACATAACACTATTAGAAATTAAGTGTAATTTTTAATAGGAATTAAAAGACAAGCCTTCATAGTTGGTGCTTCCTCTCTCACTGTTATCAGCAACTATTTTTTATATTTATTTTATATAAAATTCATTGAATGCTTCACTAAATAAAAAGATTGGAAAACATACAAAACTAGATGCTGAAGTTTGATTTTGCATTTATTGTTTTTAATAATTGGAAGGTTGTTTTTCTAGTGCAGTCCCCTCATTCCAATAAGTACAGATAATGTTTTGAAACCTGAGTAACTTAGCAGCCCTTGTCCCATTTTCAGTGGAACTTGAGTGATTTCCAAAATGCACAGCCTGAAAAAAATAAAATATTTTATCTTAGGCTTTTAACCTACTCTCTTTTATGAATGTTGCTCGCTTTAGAGACAATAAAGGATGTGTGGCCAGTTTCAGGGCATATGGGAAAGCACTGCAAAGCATCATTCATTTGGTGCCCGTGCCAAAACTTTTTGGTTTTGAAACCATGGGAGAGCCTTTGCGAAAGACATGGTGTGCTGGTGCCTGATGGGATCCACCTGTCCTAATGCAGGAAAAAACATCTTTGGGCATAAGCTGACAGGGGCTGATTGAGACACCTTTAAACTAGAATGAATGAGGGAGGAGGATACCAACAGGACTGCAGTAGGTAAGCCAAGGGTTGGCACAGCTTTGCCCGAGGGTGGCAATGCTAGTAGGAACACTTAATAGCACGCCCTTAATAACATGCCTGAAATAACATGCTTTAACTTTTGGTCAGCCCTGAAGTGGTCAGCCAGTTGGACTAGAAAGATGGTCATTGTAGGTCCCTTCCAACTGAAATATTCTGTTCAGCTTCACTCAAGCCGCTAATGTGTAGCTTCTTGCAAAATGAAATGGGCAGAAATCCAGTTGCAAATCAGCTGGCTATATTGCCTTCTCGCTGTTTTTCTAACAGATCTGCAGTGTTTAAAGAAGCAGGGACATGATTACACACTGACCAAGTAATGCTTGACAGGAACCAGAATTGGTTGATAGAAACTGTTCAAAAAGAGAAAGTAAAAAATCAAGCGCTTGGAGTCGAGATGTTAGCACTGACCAGAAGCATTATCTTACACCTGCACATGCAACACAAACTTTTTTTTTAGCAGTAATTGTAGCATATTTAGATCACATTTAGTAATTTTTTTTTCTTTATCAGCACTGTACTCAGCTGTTATTTCTAGAAACTGCCACCTCAAAATTTATTCCTAACTCTATAAACCTTGCATGCTTGTACATCACTATCTCAAAACAGCATTAAAAATAATTGTCAGTTGTTGCTATAAACCCGAAGCGTCTATTAGACATTGTGTTACATACCAACTGCCAGTATTATTCTCAGTAATGGACAGAAATAATCCAGATACAGTATAAAGAAACAACTCTCTTGAGAAAAAGCTACAATGGCTGCAGAAAATTATGGACAGTAAGATCCATTCACCGGTGTTTTAGTAAAGGAGGCCCCAGGTTCAGCCTCAGTACCCAACCCCTCTGGCCCTATCTACACATCTACAATCTGCTAGGAGTGAGATGTTTTCACTCATATCTCTCTTATGATTTAAATAAAACCAGCAGATGAGGCTCAAATAATAAAAACTGTTTCTGTAACTTTTGTAGTTTTAACAGACATTTGCTGAATTTTCCCAGGATTTGCATACAAGTTGGAGATTTCTCATAATATTTAAGAAGCTGACATAACTCTCAGATTGATGAAGACAGCAGAAGGTGGTTTTAAAAAATACACTGAGAAAGTGACAGTCAAATCATCTGTTATGTTTGCACTAGCAGCAACGTGTGACAAAAAGCTTGTAGAGGAAGAGCAGTAACACAAGACAGGTCTGTAAAGGTATCCTGTCCACCCAAGGGAATATTTCAGTCTGAAATACTGAAGGGCTGATTTGAAGCTGGTGGTTACTCACTGTGCTACTTCACAGAAGAAGCAAGCACAGGGGAGTCAGTAGCACAGGCCAATAGCCACCAGCTGCATGCCTTGAAGAATACTTAGTACAAGATACTGTAAAAAATCATTAAGCAGCAGGCAGTAGGGCTACTACAGCAGCAGAAATGCTGAGGCAAAGGGGCATCTCTCAAAGACTGTTCATACAATTCTGTGCCATCCAGAATAACTTGTTGTGTGAGGGGATCTCTTGAAGATCTATGGAGCCTTAAGAGCCTCCATTAGAAGTTGATACCTCCTTTAGTTTTTGGGATAAAAAGCCATGTTCCTCTGCTGCTCTCATATCCCTTTGTTGGAATAATACATAGGAAGCTCTGCATATTTTGCCTAGTTCTTCTGAAGTGGTGGCATATCTCTGCAACTGCTCTTTGCTTTCATCTCCTTAAATTTTCTGTGAAGTTATGCTAACGCACAGGGCTTTATCCTGTAAAATAAACAGCAGTACTAAACAGTTTTCTGCTCACCGTTCTACGCACTCCTTTACAACAGCAAAGTTGCCATCACCAATAACCTTTCCAATTTTGTACTTCTCAAGAATGGTAGATGACCCTGAGCACTTGTTTCCATTCACACCTGCAAAAAAGCAATAACGCAAGCTGAAGAGAAGTGTCAGCAGGATGTAATATATTCCCAATGGGCTCCACAGATCCAGAACGGTCACAAATGCAAAATTAAACTTAAAAGCAAGCTATTTTCTTCAAAGCTTATTCCCTTGTTTTTATCTCATACATAAGAAAGAACAAGATAAAACTAATTAGAGATGCTTGATCTTTCAACACACAAATAAAAAAATTAAATACTACTATGTTTTTATGTGGACATATTCTAAAAGAAATGAATGCAGTTAGAAGGTCTTGGGCTAAATGTTTTTTGAACTCAAAACATTTTTTTAAGTATCTTTTTGCACACCCAAAGCAAAAATGCAAATAAGATTAATCTACAATGCATGATAAAGAACCAAATTTTTATCTGTTGAATTTCTTCAAGTTCCCTTAGCTGCTGCTGAAACATCCAAAAGGCATATACATTTGCTAGCTTTTGCTGGTTTTGTCTGGGATACAGTTAATTTTCTTCATGGTAGCTAGTATGGGGCTATATTTTTGAATTTGTGCTGTGTTGACAGCACAGGGATGTTTTCATTACTGCTGAGCAGAGCTCACACAGAGTCAGGGCCTATTCTGGTTTTCACCCCACCAGCAAGTAGGCTGGGAGTGCACAAGTTGTGAGGGGACACAGCTGGGACAGCTGACCCTAACTGACCAAAGGGATATTCTTCACCATATAATGTCATGGTCAGCATACAAAGCTGGGAAGTCAGCTGGGGGACAGTGATGGCTGCTTGGGGATGGGCTGGGCATCAGTCAGTGGGTGGTGAGCAATTGCATAATTTTATTTTACTTTTTCACTTTTTCTCTTACTTTTCTGTCCTATTAAACTGTGTTTACCTCCGCCCATGAGCTTTACCTTTTTTCCCGATTCTCTCCCCTGTCCCACTGGGGAAGGGAGAATGAGTGAATGGCTGTGTGGAGCTAAGCTGCCTGCTAGGTTAAACCACAAAATAGGTTATTTCAGTATTTTTAAATCTAAAAATTGACTCTACAATTCAATTTAAAAATAAAATAACACTGCTTTAAAGAGATAATGAATGAAAGACTAAGTTTAGCTAAGGTTCTACCTGAAGCAGTGTGTTGTTTTGAGAGGTCTCCACTTTCAATCCAGCCCCAAAAATACTTCTGGTGATACACTGCAGGGCATGTTCAAAATCACTCATATTCCTAGTAGTCACTATTGAAGTGCAGGGTCCATTAATATGCTACCACTTCATGCAGAAAATGTGATAACAATTTTTCCAAGGTAAGGCTGTCAACCAGGTATCAAGCATCCCAGAACAAAACAAAATATGTTTGGAGCCATCAGAAACCATCTAAAAGTACTAAACCAGCTGTCACTTATCAGAAAACGTTTGCAAGCAATTATTAGTGTCCTACCTTCGGGACTCTGGCAACGGAGTGATTCAGGTACACCATTCACATTGGAAGAAGATCCACCATGTGGAGAAATCTATGGATGTACACAAAAACAGTATTTGTGACAGTAAAGTAGCCAGACAATAAACAGCAAGGTTGAAAAAAACACACCCTAACAACTCTTACAGAGGGTCAGCTTACATTTCTACTCCCATATTTGTTTTATTCTTGCTTTCACACAGTCCATCATCATTACGAAACATTGTAACTTGCACCAATTTAAGATTCAGCCCTGATACTCCTATTTAGGTAAGTAGATAAACGAATTCCCTCCAGCTGCACCAAGTTCCATCTCAAGACTATGCAACCAGTGTGTGTGGAAGCAGCATTCCCTCCTCATTCTGCACAAGATCATTACAATACACTTTGTACATTTCCATGTAAGCCAGAGAGGGCCATCTCCAGACAACATTTCAGTGGCCGCTGCAGCAAGCACATGCTCTCGTGCTGTATTCTAACACATCTGTTCATAGCTGAGGTCTCCCTACCTGAACTCTGGCAAAATATGCTATTTTTAGATTAGCACTGGAGCACACTAGGAAGGTAATGTAGAAATGATTGCATGGCCCTACTAGTTTTCATTTAAAGAACACAATTTTGGCATAGGTGGCAGGGTACATCTACACTAATTGGATCTGCTTGGTAACCTAGTAGTCTATATTTTAGGCTATTGTGGGTGTGAAGATTCATGACATCTCCAAGCATTTTGAGTTAGATGTCTGCTATGCATCCAGACATAGATTCAGTTTCAGTACATGTGACACTGTATAAAAAATAAAAATACTGACATGATTTTGAAAGATGAAGGCTGAAGAAAACTACTTTTGCTGTACTAACAATTTAATTGGTACTCAGTCATCACAATTCTTAAGTCACCCTGCCATGCTGTCCAGGGACATAACCCAAAATCAATGTTGATTTTAAAAAAGGGTGGAAGCATAGGAATGAATGCCAAACAGTTACATTTACTGGATGTGTTCTGTGTGCCACTGTTTTATAAGCCCTCCAATTACAGTTAAATATTGGGATGCCCTATGAAATTAAAAGATACTTTGGATCATTCCCCCTCCTCTACATAATATTTCTTGCTGTTCTGTGAAGTTTCATACCTTGTTTTCTTCATGGGCTATTATAGTAGTTCTCACAACTCACCACATAATGGATTAAAATGCTTCTCTGCCTTAAGCTCAGTGTCTGTTGAAATGGCTTTGCATGACACCAGGAATGCAAAGGCAGCATTTTCTGTTTTAGCTGACATTGTCTGGTTACACTGCTGAATATTTTAAATCATTAACACTATTGTCAATGAAAGAACTAGACTGACAGATAGGGATATTGTCTACAGGCTCATGAAATGCTAATGAATGCTTAAGTTTCTAGTAGCAGCTGAGCTGCCAAATCAGCTAAGGGTACAGTAACTAGAAGCTGTAAAACTTAATTTTGCAGAGCCTCTAAAACAATGATGTTTACTAGCATCAGGCATGGAAGGAACATAAAATAGCAACCAGTCAGCTACCACCCTGCTCCTTGCTGTAACTTTAAACCAGGCTATGTTAATGCTACGGTCTTTCTGAGTTATCTCTTCGTTTAACATGGATTAGGAACAAGGACGTTGGGTTAAACGACATTTGTGCAAAATCATGAGTCAGTGTCTTAACCAGTCTGTCGCCTTTTCTTCAAGCATGAAGTAGAGATAACAGATCACTGCAAAGTATTAGTCATCAGCTAAAAATATTAGTAATCTATTTTGGGTTTTCAGTGAGTGTGACAGAACATGGGAATATTTAGCTCTCATTTCCAACTTCCTACATCCTTGTAATCAGGTCAGAACATGACTGGGCACATTTTTTCTTCCCACAGTATTCAGAAGAAGGAATAAAAGAGCAGTAGGAAAAAAAAAAAAAAAGCTAAAAGGAATACAATACAGGAAAAAAATATCTAATGCTGCTGTTGTGGCTGAGGTGCTAGATCAGAATCTGAAATGGCAGGATTAACTGTAGCTCTGCCACTAACTTGCCTCACGGCCTAGGCATGAGGCTGAACTCACTCTACGACAGACACTGCGTGTAATTTGTGTGTTGTAGGTCTGTGTGTCAGTTTCTTAGCAGCAAAATCAGTCTAGTCTTACCCTAATGTGTCAGAGTGCAGTAGAAATAAATTCCTGAGATGTCTGTGAGGTGTTCTTTTAGCCAGAAAAGGTGGGGAGGAGGTAGAAATTGCCAATATATGACATAGAAAAAAAGTTATTTTTATTATTATAGGGATTTTTTAATAATTTAGCTACTCAGTGACATGCAATATTTAGTATATCTGGTACTGTTGGTATCACAACAGCTGCAGGTATTTCGAAGGTGAAGTAAAGATTTTGGATGTGCAAGTAGACTTGATTGGTTCACTAGCTGTTCCTGAACAGCAAGAAGAAGGAAAAAAAAAGATACATGTTGCTTTAATACTACCTTAGTGAATATGGATGGCATCCACAATCAAACTGCAGATGAGGTTTTTCAACAATTCCTCCTCCTGTATTATAGTCGACACAGCCCCATTACTATCTTCCAATACTGTTCCTCTTACACACAATAAATTCAGAGTGCACCTGTCTTAAATCCACCCTCACACACACACACGCAAGTCCTAGAAAACTCAGACCTGTGACAGAATATGATTCTTTGTTTTTAAACACTTACAGAATTATTTAGAGCAGCAATGGCTATCCAGCCCTTCGAGTAAAACAATGATCTTAGAATGTGAATGCAGCTGGCCAAGAATATATTATGCTGACAATCACTTCTGTTGCATTTTAAAATTATGCAACATATCAACTATTGATTTCACTTCCCTGCAATTGTCTCCCTGAGGTTAACTGTATTTCAACAGTACAACCTGAGTCAAATGCATGACACAAGACAGTTGTCAGAGATACCGAGAGTTCTCAAAACTAGTTGCATATCATTTTACAGATTAATTAAAGATGCTGTAAAGATGCTTTTTTTCAGCTCAGTACCTGAAAAAAACCTGCCGAACAGTTTTGTCTACGTGGTGTGATCAACACACTAGAGAGAAGGGATGCCATCCATAGAAACTCTGACAGGCTTCGTGGTCCTGTGCAAACTGCACGAAGTTCAACAAGGCCAAGTGCAAGGTCCTGCACCTAGGCTGGAGCAATCCCAAACCCTAATACTGGCTAGGCAGAGAACAGATTGATACCAGCCCTGAGGAAAAGGAGTTGAGGGCATTGGTCAATGAGAAGCTCAACATGAGCCAGCAATGTGTGCTTGCAGCCCAGAAAGCCAAATGTGGCTGCATCAAAATAAGTATGGCCAGCAGGTCAAGGGAGGCGATTCTCCCCTCCACTCAGCTCTCCTGAAGCTCCACCTGGAGTATTTTGTCCCGTTCAGGAGCCCCCAGTGCGAGAAAGACACCGATCTGTTGAAACCATTCCAGAGGGCCAAAAAGACGATCTGAGGGCAGAAGCACCTCTGCTATGAAGACAGGCTGAGAGAGTAGGGGTTGTTCAGCCTGGAGAAGAGCAGGCTCTGGGGAGACGATATGGCAGCTTTCCAGTACTTGAAGGGGCCTACAGAAAAGCTGAGGAGGGACTCTTTACAACAGCATGTAGTGGCAGGACAATGGGGAATGATTTTAAGCTGAAAGGGAATAGATTTAGGTTAGACATTAGGAAGAAATTCTTTACTGTGAGGGTGGTGAGACACTCGAACAAGTTGTCCAGAGAAGTTGTGGATGCCCCATCCCTGGAAGTGTTTGAGGACAGGCTGGATGGAGCTTTGAGTAGCCTTCTCAGACCTTCAGAAACACTCCTTGATATTATCAGAGGCATTCTCTGTCTTTATGACAACATTCAAACTGGTGATGAATCTAACAGTAGACTATGAGTATTTTAGTGAAATGGCGAATTAACTGTTTGCAGAGGTATTCTCTGAAATCCGGGGACAATTTATGTTGTCACTGTAATTCATCCTGAAAGGCTGCAGTAAGAAAGGGCCAAAAGATATTCCAATCATAAATTGTTATTTATATAATCAGTATTTCTAGTAAGATGTTGCTAGTATTTATTACAACGCTTAATAGTAACACAATCTGTATGACAGAAACATTTTTAAAGTGATACTTAAACACTGCTGGTGACCCGACTATACAGAGAAGCTACCTGTAACAACAAAATAGCCAGTTATAATGCTCTGATTTTGCTACTATTAATTTGAGCATATTTGGTATGGCATGTATATAATGCCATGGATTTTGTTGCACTGCTTTGGAAACACTGAAGAATCACAAACTTTTACATCACATTATGCAAAGTATTTTGCAAGCTCATGACAACGGTGAACAGACTTGACACTAAGTGCAATACCTCAGTTTCCCTACTAGCACAAATTAGCCAACTCATTTTTATCCACTGTATGAGCAAGAAAGATGCTGAGCTCCAAATTAAACAAAGTCAGCAAAGAATTCCTCTAAGAACTGCTACTGACCTGTGTCACCAGGTTGGATAATTGAATGTAAACACGTAAGCACATGTGTACACAACTGAAGAAATTAAAACCTTGATGAAGATAGGCACTAATCCTTGAAATCACTTAAGGACATGTTTAAGTATATTAATATCCTCATTGGAGTAAAAGGGACTACTCAATAGCTTTAAGTTAAGCAAGTACTTAAGTTATTTGTTGGATCAGGTTTTACTACACTTTCACTTTGGTCATTTGGTCAGTCAAAAAAGTAATACTGAGACAAATTCAAACACAATGCTATTTAGCACAACTGTGATTCTAAGAAAGACCTCAACTATAAAGCTTCTTTACTTGTACAGTTTTATTTTCCTTTTAAAAAGATAACAGGACTTTATGGTACTTGAATTCAAGAGTGGACAATAAAACAAAGTAAGCATTAGGAAGTTAAGACACCACTTTCCAAAATCTCATATTTAATCTAGTAACATCAAGATCAATCTTACAAAAATAATGACTTATAAGAAATGGATTTTGCATAAAACCATGCCTCTCTTTTACTGTTTTTATGTTGATACTTCACCAAAAACAGTCATTGCTACTGGATGACAATCAAGGAACAAGGGTCACTGCACAGTGCACTTGATCCTTTTGGAATTTATCCTGAGATTCACTAGATAACTTTCCCAGGACCACAGCTGTGGTACTCCTACTGAACAGATGTATCCCAATGGGATAAAACAAGAGGTATTCACTGGTTTAGTAACACATCAGGTTTGAGACTATTTAACTTGGTTTTGCTGTTTTCTTTGGTTATATAGGGTTGAATTATTTGACATGAAGACCCATCAGTATCCAGAATAAATTAAATTTCAAAATGAAAAAGTACAATAGTCTATTTCAGTGAAATCGACAGTGAAGGGGAAAGAGGACATGTACGCTTTACTGAAAATTGCTTATTACAATCAGCATTATCTCTATCTTAGTGGAGCTTTAATCGGCTAAAAGCAGACCAGACAGCTCGGGAAAAAAATGAACCAAATTATCTACTTTCTAAACTTGTAATTTCATTAAAGAAAGACAAAAGGGTATTTGTTAAATATAGTGTAAACCAGCTGAGAGCCTCAAGTCCAATGATTTTGGTGTCCTCACCTGTAAGTTCTATAGCAAAGCTGTCCAGACAAATTTTAAGACACACCATTCTCATTTTCAATGTCGGAACTATTACTGCTCTTAAAAAATGTTTTACAGGGCAAAGATCAATCTATGTTGCTTTGGACAAAGAAAAGCTATGGGATAGCAAGCTCAACAACAAAGGCAGAAATCAACACTAAATTTTCTCAATGAACTGAATAACTAAAAATAAAATAGAATTAAACAAATAAATTATTTTATTTTTCTCAGAATAACCACGGAAACTGAGCAGAAATCAGTGCCATGCTCTTGCAAAACATACAAAGACTTGGTAACAATTAGCATGTCAAAACCCAGATCTAAATACTATTCAAATCACGTTCTTTTAGCCAGTCTCTTAATTGAGAAAACAGTTTTCCAGAGAATTATGCATCCTCTTCACAACTGTTGTGTTCACCAATGGAAGCTATTACTTGGTCATAATAATCAGTGTGAAACATTCACTGTGCTTACAAAAAGCCTGCAATTGATGATTTAATATGAAAATTATTCTTGAAAGGACAGTTGTACAAATGCAGCACTAAGATGCTCAGCTGTGCTCCAGACTGTTCCTTTTATTTTACCAAGCAAAAGGCACAGAGTATTCTCTAAGAACTGTAAACCCCAGCAATTTTTATGCAGGACAGAGCTGCTCCTCAAGGAACCCCTCACATGCTTCAGGTAGGAGACTGCATTAAGGGGTGAAATTGTGTGCCATGGATGAAGAAGGGTGATTCAGATGAAATTCTGGGCAAGGCTACAAGACTATAGAGTATTAAAAAGAGGATACTACATTTATACAGGCTGAGGTAATATAAATTACTTGGGAGGTTTCTGCAGGCCATAAAACTATGGATAATTTGGGGGACAAATTGGCATATTCAAACCACCATCACCTTTCCAAAGCTTTAAGTTCCATCCTGCCAACCAAAAACAAAATACAAAAATCTTATTTCAGCTCTCTTCTCCACTTTGACTGACAAACCACACTAGCAAGGCTACTCTATAGATTATAACTGTTTTTTGTCCTTTTTCCTTCTTCAGCATCACTGTAACGTGCCATTAAACGAACAATGGAATTTAGGAGGTTTTATGTTTTTTTGCACTTACCTTGAGTCCACGAAAGCTGCCTGGGCTTGTTGGTGAAGAACTGGAGGACTTTGTAGATTTTGGGGTGGATAATTGACTACTTGGAGTTCCATTAACTGGCCAAAGCAATAAAAGCAAACAAATGAAAGAAAGTATGTACAGAAGTAAAAAACCCTAACTTGCTTCTAAACATACCATACCTCTCTGACAAGTTATCACTCAAGTCTACATACAAAGACCAAAGCAGACTCCTCAGCATTTAGGAATAAATTAGAAAATTGCATGTCACACAACTGCACCTCCCAAAACTCTTGTGGTTGGGTATGGAATCAAGAAGACACACAAATATTACACTGTCATTCTGGAAATGAAAAAGGCCTGTTCTTTGTCAGTGTAGACTTGGGCAAATAATAGCCACAGCCTTTTAAAATTATCTCCTTTATTGTGACAGCACAATAAAATATGGAGAAAGAAAATTTTCATAGAGACATTTGATCATTCATCTCTCCTTTTTGGATGAACACCTTACTTTCTAGGTAGAATGATACATACGACAGAAGTTGTACACCATGAGAAATATGACCTCTTTGGATGATAAAGAACTTAAGCAGTAGTTGGGAAAAATACGGATTTTGGGGGAAAAAGCCCCAACCAGGTAAAAACCAGTAGGTTATTTCTGAACTTCCAAGAAGTTGAAGCATCTGTGAAAACACACAATATTCTCTCTATTGATTTCAAGAGTTCATTAATTTTAAGACCAGTTTTCCAGAGAGAACTGATGCAATATGTGTTATATCTCCACTTACTGGAATATAACTTAGGTCAGACCTTGCATTGTTCTGAAAATAAAACAACAAACTGATGAATTTCATTATGTAGACAGAATTTCATTATGTACAATGTTCATCATACACAAATATGATGCAACATTATATGATGTGATATTATTTCCTCTCTGGCTGGACTTCATTTTTCCTGGGAGAGAAACACACTGGGTAGAATTTTAAGAGCTAGAAAGGTTTCAGAGCTGGTTCATGGTGAAAAATTATTTTTTCAGAAAGAAAAAAGCAACTCTGGCAAATACAGTTACACTTGCACATACTCTTTACACATTCAGAGGTCTGTCATGTTCTAGTCATTAGAAAAAACACTGAGATGCAAAGCTTGTGATCAAAATCTAGATACTTCAGTAGAAAAATTTGCCTCCAAAAGGTCAACCATTACTACATAAGGTAAAAAAATTAAAATTATTCACAAATTATTTTTACACAGGTCACAGAAAGGTCACTATTTCCTGAACATGACGCTTACACTTAAAGACATCCTTATCTGTCTCTAGCTCACTACTATCCTTTTAAGCAGGCAGAACCACTGAACTGTGCCTGTGAAGCTGGCTGGTTAACATAATCTTCTTCCCTCTTGTAACTGCCCAAGGAAGAACATCTCAGCCTACACTGACAGTACTCTAATTCTGCTAATATCTTATTTATGATTGGTGGACAAAGGTGGTGTTCTGAGCCAGGGGTATGACTGGATGATGCTCAGAGGTCCCTTCCAACTTTTGTCCTATGATTCTACAACATATGGTGCATTATGCTGAGGATACTATTTAAATGGGCTGCCTAGAGATACAGCTTTGCTGATTTTTGAGATCCACTGCATGTGAGTTGGTTCACAAATGTAATTGTAAAAGCTGAAGCTGGCCCTGTATAGATGGAAAAGTTTTGCATCTATAGAGTGTCAGCCAGCTGCTTGTGTTGGATTTAGTAGATTTAATTTTCTTCATAGTAGCTAGTATAGGGCTATGCTTTGCATTTGTGCTGAAAACAGTGCTGACAGGGATATTTTTGTTACTGCTGAGCAATGCTTACACAGTTAAGGCCTTTTCTGCTCCTCACAGTGTCATGCCAGCGAGTAGGCTTGAAGTGTACAAAAAGTTGGGAGGAGACACAGCTGGTACAGTTGACCTCAATTAACCAAAGGGATATTCCATGCCATATGACATTATGCTCAGCAATAAAACTAGGGGGAAAGTTGGTGGAGGGCTTGCTGCCTGGGGACTGGCTGGGCATTGATCAGTTGGCGGTGAGCAGTTGCTTTCGTTTGCATCACTTGTCTTTCTTGATTTTTGTTTTTCTCTATTATTTCCTATTATTATCATAATCATCATTAGAATATTTTATTTCAATTATGAAACAGTTCATATCTCAACCCATGAGTTTTCTTAGTTTTACTCTTCTGATTCTCTTTTCCCCTCCCAGTGGGAGGCAGGAAGTGGGCTGAGTGGCTGTGTGGTGTTTAGTTGCCAGCTGGGGCTAAACCATGACACTGCTATTTCAGAGAGCAATACTTTTGTTTGGGATTTTTTTCTACTCAAAAAACACACAAGCAATCTATATTAATTTTTGGCATGAACTTGTCCACTGCTATCAATTTTCTGAATATTTCATGCATATGCCAAACTTGACTTTCTTATCTGTTTCCTAAGTATAAGTTCTTTTGAGGCTTCTTTCAACATGTATAGCAGCCTAAATATATAGATTAAAAAATACTTCTCTGTTGCTCTTTTATGTAGTATATACTAGGCCTACAATTCATTAGCATATTGTAATGTTGAAAACTGAAAAACCTATAAATACCTTTTAAATTGTTAACTCCTAGTATGGTCCAAAGTCTCAACTCATTAGTATGGACCAAAGTCTCAACTTATTTCCTAATCAAAATGTATGTTACTTTGTTACTTGTTTTAGAGATACTTTAATTTTGACCTGAAGGTTTAAAAAGGTTTCCTGGTGTTTTAGAACTTAGGCTGAAATAACACAAGAAAAGAAAGGAAGGTAAAAAACTGCAAATAAAATTAAAAATGAAGACATGTTTTTGCTTTTTTTTTTTTTTTTCCCAGCTGCTCTTACTACTGTGGTGGCTGAAATTTTCTATTACGATATGCTTTAGAATATACATACAAATGTATTGCTCCTCAGAATGCTCCTCTACTTGTACTTCAATTACACCTTTACAGATTTAACTTCAACACCATTAGCAGATAATTCAACAACTATAAAGCGTCACTTATATTATTTCACTTGAATTACCTACTTTAACAAAAAACCCATACCCACTATGTTGTTGGTTCACCAAATGCAAAACGTGTGTTTCAAGCTTAAAAATATTCACAAATACAGCTAAAAGAATATAGGTAAATGGAGAGGGAAGAGACACACTAGCGATATACAGCCATAATAGTAATGGCTCACCTGGGGATTTTGCTGAAGAATAAGCACCGGAGTAGTGGCCACCCCTCTTTACTGTACTCATATATTTGACACAAAGGAAAAAGACATTAAGGAAAGCAGTTATTGCACAGCTCTGAACATGCATGAAAGGAAGGAGGGTAAATAAAGGTAAGACATGAGAAAAAAGGGCAAGTAAATATAAGGATATACCAGACATTTGGGATAAATTTTTCAAAATAACCTAACTGAAGGGATGTCCAAGTAGACATAAGTAAGGAAATGACAGCACCGAATTCTAAATACTTTGCATAAAATTCACTGTTAGTAGATATTTCATTGAGTTCACAGGTTTGCATGAAATGTAGATCAGTTGTGAAATTGGTCTTTAATGCTACATTTTTCTTTGTTGTTACTGCAATGCTTCTTTAAAGCTTTTCAGTTACATATTCAGCCTTTATAAACACATGATAAACGTTCCACTTTGAATTAACCCAAAGATGTAGAATTACTTTAACCAGCAGTAATTAAGCAAAACAAATATTGATATGGAAATGGGAATATGGAACATGTTGCAGTTTCGAATACATGCACAGGAGCTTACATGTATAGTAATATTTAAAACAGATCGCCATATATTTACATATTAAATTGTTTGATTTCAGGGCCACTTCTCCAGGTCCGAGGGGAAAAAAATAATTAAGTTTTATTGTATTTATAAATCAAATGCAGAGGTAAAAAGGGGGAAAAACCCCATGCTTCTCCATTATATTTATTTGCATTGAAGTCTCAAGGGTTGCAACATACAGTGTCCAGCCAAACTGCTGGCAAAATCACAATATGAACACTCCTTTGAAAGTACAGAAAGCACAAGAAAAAAAAAATATTTCTTGGTTAATGAGCAGTAACATTCCAGAACGTCTCCTAAAATTACTTGAAACAGCAAAATCCTATATTTCCAAAGTTATTTAGCTTATATAGGAGAAAACTTTCAAATTCAAAACACGGGCATGCTCTAGCTCAATGAACATGAAATGAACCACATAACCATTCTGCAGTTAATTGTCTTCAAGAAAATCAAGTGCCATGCTGAAAACATATCCCAAGTGTACAATTAGCACAAATTATTCCAGTGTTCATAAACTGAAACTTTTTGTGCCTGTTAATTAAAAAACAGAAACCACATTTCTCCTCAGGATTCAAAAATAAATGCAAATGTTATTATAAATTAGCATTAAATCTATGAGACAAACTGAAAAAAATGTTTTCCCCTTAGGAAACAAAGTATGGCACTTGTACTTCAGGCAGAGCCAAGAGTTACTTCCACCCCAGTATAAACATTCTAACTTTCACGTATTTTACCTACTCTTTCCTAGAAGTAGTACCTGAGGCAGGTGACTTGCTTCGACGTGAAGGTCCTGGACTTTTGGACCCTGTATATCTCATGCCAGATGATCGGGAATAAGAGGACTTCATAACACGGCATTCTACAAAGCAAGCAGATTGTTTTGACTCAATGTACCACGTACAGCCTCAATGTACAGGCTTCCTCCAAACCATACTGTTGCTGTCTGTTATCCAGAAAATAAACATCAATTTTATAAGAGCATCTCAGAACCTTAACCTACATACCATACAAATATATTCGAGCTACTCTGTATACATGCTGTCTGTAATATTTATTCATGTCTTCAAGCTGGATTATTAGCATAATTCAAGTTTGTACCTACGCACGGCTGAAAGAGCAAAGTAGTCAGCTGATGCCAAGGTTTTTCAGATAATTCAGTAAATCCTGCATGCTGTAATGGCAGCTTCATATAGGGCAACTGCACAGCAAGCCCTATGTACTAAATTTTTAAAGAAACTGATGTAGTGGCCAATTTTTGAAGAGTTGAAAAATGTCTATAGTTTCCAAAAGTCTGTGACAATAGACAGTGCCATTTACCATCAGCTATAGGTCATTAAATATAGGACAATCTAAATGGGAAAGAAATCAATAGGCATACACGCATTGACATTTTGGAAACTTTTTAATTCTCACAGTTAGTATGCACTGCAAATTACTTCCAATGGAATCGTATAAATTTTGCTCCTAATTTAGTCCCTGTTATTCATCACTACTATGTCAATGCCAACATTATGATGACATGTCACCAGCAAAAACAGTAAGTAGAGCTGCATGCCCTGCCAGTTAAGTCATGTTCAGTTCTGCACCTAATCTGCTTTACTGCAATAAGACCTTCGGAGTTAGATGAAGCAGGGACCACCAAAGCTGAAGAGAAAAAGGCAGAAAAAACCCTTCCATCACTGGGTTCTCAGAAAGGAAATGAGCACAATTAGCCTGTGAAGGTGTTATGCTAAAAGAAAACTGATGGCCTTAAAATTTGCAAGGGAAATTATGATTTTGCCCAGACTGGGATTTGCATTGTTAGTTAATACAACCAAGCCCCTCCATTCCTGCATAAGAATAAAATTGTATTTTAGGTAGTCTAAAACTATGGATGAAAAAATACCCTTCTTGTCACCTCCACTCTAGCTGAATCAACACATTCAGCCAGTTCTGGAAAAGCATCATGCTGGCTATAACAACAGAATGGGAGCCAGCTCAATCCTCCTCCCATTTTTTTACCAGGGATTAATTTTTTTCAAAAAAAGAAAATCAGAGAGACGCTTCAGCTGGATCAATATAGACAGAAAAAGCTCCATGTCTAGTAGGGCCTGTAGCGACAAAGGGTGATGGTTTTAAACTAAAAAAGGATAGATTCAGACCAGATTTAAGGAAGAAATTTTTTATGATAAGGGTAATGAAACACTGGAACATGTAGCCCAGAGAGGTGGCAGATGCCTCATCACAGGAAATATTCAGGGTCCGGTTGGAGTGGGCACTGAGCAAACTGATCTCATTGAAGATGTCCTTGGCTCATTATAGGATGGCTGGACTTCACAGAATCACAGAATATTAGGGGTTGGAAGGCACCTCCGAAGATCATCAAGTCCAACCCCCCTGCCAGAGCAGGACCAAAAATAAACCCAAAACAAAACACCAAACAAAGCAAAACACAAAACTCACCAACTAGGGCAGATCACTTAGAAAGGCATCCAGACAGGTCTCGAAAGTCTCCAGAGGAGATTCCACAACCTCTCTAGGGAGCCTGTTCCAGTGCTCTGTAACCCTCACAGTAAAGAAGTTGTCATGTTGAGGTGGAACTTCCTATGCTTGAGTTTGAATCCATTGCCCCTCATCCTATCACAGGGCACAAGTGAAAAGAGCTTCTTCCTGCTTTCTTGATGTCCAGCCCCCATGTATTTATAGACACTAATTAGTTCCCCCCTCAGTCTTCTCCTCTCTAGATTGAAAAGCCCTAGGTCTCTCAGCCTTTCCTCGTAAGGCAGGTGTTCCAGCCCCTTAATCATCCTCAAAGCCTCTGTTGGACTCTCTCAAGTAGATCCCAGTCCCTCTTGAACTGGGGTGCCCAGAACTGCACACAATACTCTAAGTGAGGTCTCACCAGGGCCAAGTAGACAGGGAGGAGAACCTCCCTCAATCTACTGGAGACACTCCTCTTTATGCACCCCAAGATACCATTGGCCTTCTTGGCCACAAGGGCACAGTGTTGTCCCATGGATAACCTGTTGTCTACCAGGACTCCAAGGTTCTTCTCCATGGAGCTGCTCTCTAGCAGATCACCTCCTAGCCTGTACTGGTGCATTGTTGTTCCTTTCCAGGTGCAGGACTCTGCACTTGGTCTTGTTGAATCCTTCCTCCAGTCCTCAGGCACCTCTCCTGTTTGCAATGATCTTTCAGAAATGACGGAGAGTGGTAGAGCAATAACATCAGCCAGCTCTCTCAACACTCTTGGGTGCATCTCAACAAGGCCCATTGATTCATGCACATTCAATTTACATAACTGATCTTTGACCCACTCTTCACTGACTAGAGGAGAGTCCTCCCTCCTCCAGGGTTCCTCTCCTATATCCAGGGTCTGAAGCTCAAGAGGGCTGGTCTTAGTAAAGACTGAAGCAAAGAAGGCATTCAGCAACTCTGCCTTCTCTGCATCCTCTGTTACCAGGGCTCCCACCTCATTCAGTAGTGGGCTCATATTTTCCCTGTTCTTCCTTTTACTGCTGATATAATTGAAGAAGCTCTTTTTGTTCTCTTTTACTTCCTTTGCCAGCTTAAGTTCTAAGAGGGCTTTGGCCTTTCTTGTTGACTTCCTACCTACCCTAACAACATCCCTATAGTTCTCCCAAGTGACAAGTTTCTTCTTCCACAAACTGTACATTTCTTTCTTCCATGAGACTTTTTTCAGAAGGTCATTGCATATCCATGCAGGTCATTTAACACCTCTGCCTGATTTTCTACTTGAAGGAATGTACCTATCTTGGGCTTGGAGAAATGGTAATTAAAAACTGACCACCTTTCCTGGACTTCCTTTCATTCCAGAGTTTTAGCCCATGGGATTCCTGCAAGTAGAACTTTGAAGAGTCCAAAGTTAGCACTATGGAAGTCCAGGGTTGTAATCCTACTTATTACCCTGCTTCTTCCTTGTAAAATATTAAACTCCACCTTGTATTAAGAAATAAAGAAGGTCTGGTTGGAGACATTAAGGTTGGCAATAGCCTTGGTGACAGTGACCATGATATGGTCGACTTGATGACCTTTATTAGACCTTTTCAACCTAAACCTTATGACTTTATGAATTTGGAGGAAAACCCCACACCCACACATCTATATGCATATGATTTGGTATTCCAAGCCAACTTTAAAACTCCCTGGTAGAGGAGAGTACTTTTTTCTTGAACTGACATTATACATTTTCTCTCTACAGAAAAACAACTTTTGTAATCAAGTTAATTAATGACCTTTCAGTGTCAGTCAGCACAGGCACAAAGTCCCAGTTTGTCTCACCTGCCTTCCTACCTAACAACCCCTCTAACCTCACAATATAAACTGGCTCAACAGACAAGACCTTAATGTGTGAATCACCTAGCAGGACAACTCAAGACCTGAAATGGGTTTGACTACTCCTGTAATTTTTCAAAAATGTCATGAGAACAACAATATGGAAATCATCTTCTAGCCACAGACGTCAAAAGTGAGTATTTTTAACAGATTTTAGGCTCATTAGACACAAGGCTGAACCTTTTAAAATTCAATGCTGTTTTCAATGTAACTTCAGGAACAGGGTCAGTTATCTAAGAAAATAGATCAGGTTTGTTAGTGCATTTTAATAGACTTAGAGAATCCAGATGATGGTTTGGAAAAACTTTTTAATCCATAGGAAAATATATTCTGTTGTAATATGTCTATTTTATAGTCTATTATAATATTCTACTAATAATATGTCTGTTTTCCTGAATCACACAACTCTTGAGGATTGAACAGGGGAGGAAGGAGAGGTGGGGCAAGAGAGAAGAGTTCTCAATGAAGTTGACTATTGCTGTAGTTTTAGGATGTATATTTAGTCTTACCGCTGTGATCCAACACGAAGTCGTCCTGAGCATACCGGTATTTCTCAGGTCCACATGCAATGAAGACATCATCATCTCCAAAAAAGTCCTGCAAGCATGTCACCTTGACAGGAAAACACATGAGTCAAAATAAACAAATGTAGTACTTTGAAATACTCAATCTTCAGTTAGTCAGCAACAAGAAGTTTGTGTTTTCACAAAGATATCATATGTTCTATTTAGAATGACAGAAAAAATCCAGTTCTCAAGTACTTCAGCTCTCCAGTAGTGCAGGAAACCTCAAGGTCAAGAATGTAAAATATGACTGCCCCTCATCCTCGAAGCACCTTTTCTTACATTTAACACCTGATTTTTGCCTACAACTACACAGGTATGCTGATGACTTTGGCAAGACCAACTATAATTACTACTCAAATATCAAAGCTTCTTGTATTCTTACATTAACTGCTTATGGGAAAACCTGAGAAGTTAAAATTACTGCATCTCCAAATTTTTTTTAATTTTTTTTTTTTAGTCCTCTAAGGCATTTAAGATCCATGTTTTAAAGTCCTGTTAAAAAAATAATAATTCTCCAATTTATTCAAAGGCATTCCATATTCAAGAAAAAAGAGAAATACTGAGTCCCTTCCAAACACAAAACCAAACATGTTGAAATAACCACACTCCTCAAAAGTCAGTAAAAGTCAGTTTGTGAAGGACCAAGTGCCTGCTTAAAAAAACAAATAAAATTGAAATGGCACAACAAGAAATCCCACTGAACTCATTCTAACTCCCTTGTAAGAAAAAAATTGTTTTCAGGTAACAAGCTACTTTAAAAATACAAATGGATTAGAATTTTACTGCATAATTGTTCCCCTATTCTCTTTAACATTGCAAACCCAAATGAGATCTAGGAATAAAAGCTAAGAAAGTTAAAACCATTTGGTAAAATCATGTAATTAAAGAGGTAAAACAAAAAGCTGCCTTCAGGGAAAGTAGCTTTTTTTTCCTTCCCAGATACCTGTCAGCACCATTTGCATATTTTACCCACTGAGAAAATAGTAAACATTGACAGAACTACAGGAAGGGGTCTCTCCTGCCTGCAGTATTCTGAGAAACACTCAGAATATCAATGACTCTCAGCAAGAACACCCACACAGGGCATTCACCAGCAGTGCAGTTGTCATGGCAGCTAGCCCAGGAATGACAGACGGTGCCCTTACAGCAAGATCCTCACTACAGTGCCACATGCTGTATCTAGCATTTGTGTCACTGTGTTATGCAGCCAAAGGACTGCAGCTCTCTCCAAAATCCTTTTATTGCTATCTTACCATTGCAATGACAATCTGCTCTTATCGACAGCAGACATTTTCAGATGTACTTCAAACTGCTGCTTCTGGTTAAGTGAAGAGGAAGTAATAATTGGATTCAAAAGGCCATGCAAATTGAAGAGAAGTTTTGCTAACATGGGATTTATTCCTCTCTACTTAATACCTCTCTCTACTAATAAGATGGCTCATTAACATCTACACAGATTTCAGGAATCCAGCAATGAACCCAAACCACCATTTCAGGGAAAGCTGTGCGAGGCACAAGTTCACACCCAAAGTCTCCCAAACCCCGGTAATTTCCACAAGTTCTGTCTACCTATCACTGCTCTACTCATGCCCTTGGTGCCATTGCAGTGCTGTTGGGAGGTTAGAGTTAAATGTTGTGGTTCAGC